AATTCTATAAAACTTGAAACTGGGTAACAGAAGGGTATGATGCAAGAGTGGCTCTTTTTTGTCTTGAAAAACCCAGAGACTTCATGGCCAAGTCACTTAGGAGGGAAATTAAGGAAAATCTTTGAATATCCATTAAGGGACTAATTTAGGTCAGACCTTTAAAACTTTTGTCTTCGGTCAGAGTATGTGGCTGTGAAATAAAGACAAAGGAACGCTAATATTTTAGCCATCTTAGAACTGGTAGTAAAATAGTGATTATTGCTCAGTGATTACTATTTTTTCCCGGAGATATTATATTAAAATAAAACCCTTATTTAAAATGAATTAAATTTTCAAACAGGTGAAATAATTGCTGAAAAGATATTATATTCCACTGTTATTCTTGACATTAATGACCAAAGAGATTACATTTCAGGCTTTCTTGTATAAACACTTTAAATGTCGATCAATGAGTAGATATTTTTAGCGCATGATGTCGATATTCGATTTTGGGATTTACCTGACAGTGCACTTTCGGTTTGGACGAAACTTCCGACGGTTTGACTTTAAAACGTTCTGCTTTGCTCTAAGGAATTTTCGAAAGTAAGTAATTATAAACGTTGATTTTTATGCAGTTTACTGAAAATTAATGAATTTCCGAAATGAGGTGGATGGGTTTTTTTAATGAATGAAGAAACCATTACCTATAATAAATTAAATCTGAAACTCAATCTAAAATATATGGTGGCATATTTCTGCCCCCTACATACAAAATAAATTATGTTAACATGCGAGAAAAGTATGTTGACATACAAGATATATAAGTCAACATGCAAAATAATTATGTTGACATGCAAGTTACCAGTATTTTTTGAGAATCTAATTTTGATGTTGGTAAACTTTCGTACTAACGCCAGTATACGACATCATACAAGCAAGCTGCAATAGAATTATATAGACATGCAACTTATTATTGTTACATGCAAAATAATTATGTTTACATGCAATTGCAACTTATTTTTGTCAACATGCTAGTTATATTTGTACATGCAACATATTGATGTCAACATCCAAGATAATAAGTCGCACATTAACATACACATCTCGCATGTTGACATAATTAACTCGCATGAAAATATAATAATCTTGAATTTTGACGTAAACAAGTTGTATGTCTACTAACTATTTTACATGTGACGTAAATAAGTTGCATGTCTATACATAATGATCTTGCATGTTGACATAATTTTCTAATTCTGTTTTACTCGTATTCTATTTCTTTCATTATTATTTGTTTCATTTCAGTATCTATATCTTTATGTGATGGGTGAATTAAAAAAAAATGACCAAACGCATATTTATCTACCCACACTAAAAATACAGGCAATGAAAATAGATTTCTATGTCTCAGCATATGTCTTTAGATAGTGTCTAAATACCTGCCAAATATCTCGTTGATATCTCAATTAACAAAAAAGTTATGCCCAAAAATGATGCTAACATTGTCAAGAGTGCAACACCTTTTTGTGACATTTTGAAATTTCAATATTTTTTGGAGATCTGTGTAATAAAAATAATGCTTCATGTTGAAAATAAAGACTTTCCTCATAATATTCAAAGTATTGAGCTTTAAATGTGGACTGTCATAAATTTTGTTTAATCAGGTTTTGGTCATGGCTGATGTTTAAAAAAATGTTATACCATGTCAGGAGTGCAACAAAAAAAATGTAGTGTTGCCAAAAAAAAACATCAATTGTAAAATTCTGATAGAAAATTAAGACAAAAAAGAATTTTGGAAGTGTAAAATAATAACTGATATACATTTTAAAACTTAAAAATGTTATATAAATCACAAGTAGTATTAATGAGAGTCAAGTATATGTGCATACCCAAAAATGTCAGGAGTGAAACATTTGATGTTTTGCTCCCAAGCATGAAAAAACTATTATCATTATTTGATTTTCTGATTTTTTATTTTGGAAAATAAAGACACAAAGGACATTTTTACCAAATAGATTTATCAATTACAGGATCTGTCTGTGCTTCAGATCCATATTTCTATGGTAAGGAGTGCAACACATTTTTTTTAAGATTCAAGTTGTGTGACGAAAAGACTTCTATTCATGCTAAGAAGTATTTATTAATTAATAATGATCTTTTTGTATAATTTAAATCTAAATTATTGACAGTTTTATTATTAAAATCCTTCCTTTTTCAATTTTATCAATTCAAATGTGTTTTTATCTTTTTGTGATTTTTTTAATGAACGTTAAAAATAAACACACTAAAACATTGTCATAAAATTCAAGTAATTCCTCCTCAACTTCACTGAAACAACAGAACAAGTTCTTATGTAATTTTCACTTCACAATTCTACTTTAAAGGCCCCAATGCTTTTGGTCAGGAGTGCAACAAATATATATGTTAGAATTATAAATCATCCAATAAGAATAAAAATAAAGAAAAAATGATGAGCAGAATTTTTCTGGTGGGTTACTGTGTTTGTCTTTTATAGGAAAATATGCTTTAAAATATATTTTATCTTCTAAATATACATTTCAGCTAGATTTTGGCATAAAATAGGGTATAATTCCAGATAGACTGGGATTTTTAAATACTTTCATCTGTTTTAATTATGAATTATTGGACTATTAGTATTGCACAATTTCATTACCACTTGATGTTGCCAACATTTTATGAATTTTTGTGTTCTATGGTTTTAATTTTAAACTTTACTGCAGTCAGGGGTGCAACAAAACTGCTTTATAATTACCAATGCTTTTTAACTATCTTTACTAAAAAATAAGTTGAAAAAAATGCTTGATACTATTTGATGTTCAAAACACGATGTCTATTAACAAATTACAGAAATTTTACAGTCAATTCAGGGAATAGTTTTCATTATTTCACATATATTTTAAATACAATTTATATATATTACACTTTGCAAATAATCATGTTTTAAGGTCTTCAAAATATGAAAAACCTGCTGTAAACGATGAAAAATATCAACACGACAAATTGATTTACAAAGTAAGAATGGGTTATTGTGTGTTATAATTTTTAAAACAATGTTAAATAAAATACATATCAGATGTCAGGAGTGCAACACAATAATGTAACATAGGGTCACTTCAAAATCTAGTATTTTTTGTAAGAGAACTCGTATATAACAATACTTTTTTGGCTTATTTTTAAAAAATTGACTTGAACGGACAAAAAAGTGAATTTTGGGGAATTTTATTGCTTCATATTTTTTTCATATTAAAACTTTTCAAACCAGAATTGAAAAAATAATGTAAAATAACAATCAAAATGCCAATTTTTTGTCACATGTACAAGAGAAGATACTCATTCAAGGTCTAGATTTAATCATTTATACCCCTTTTACCATTTTGAAGTATAAAAAACTATAATTTCTTGTGATTAGGTATTTTAGAAAGTCTTTTAAGGTGTAATGATATTTTCTTTTTTCAAAAGAAATTTTACTAATAAAAATTCTGAAACTTTTTAATCCAATTGTCTATTCTATTGCCACTTCAGGATTTTAAAGTAGAATGCATGTGCAATATGACGGTATAAGTGAAAAATGTGTTATATGTAGTTGAATTTTGCCCAAAATAAATTCAGTTTGGTGGTCTTTTTTTTTTAATTCACCCTAATAATACTATGTGAGAGAGAATAAAACGATGTACGGTTTAACACCTCGCAGTGATTAATTAATGATAATTAATTCGGTCGCTTATTCAAATCACACATCGCCACAGTATACCAGACTGACCGGACGTACCTCGCGGTGGTCAGGATTCATTTCTTACTTATTAGTTTTGAACACAAAAATTCAAATTGTAAAAGTGTATGTAAATAGGGTTAAGTAGCGTAGTTGTAGTGCTAGATTTTTTTTTATTTGATTTGTTCTTTCATGACCTTTTAACCTTTTCTATGTCCCGAGGAAGGGACAGGGCATCCCGAAAATTTGACAATTTCTAATATTATACTTTCATGTAAATTAGTTGAATCTTATTCGTCGAGAAACATTTGTTAAAAAATACTATTACCCGCTGAATATTTAAGCCACGCCCTCCAGCGTAGCAACACTTAACATTCCTTGACGACGGGTGATATTCCAAAAAATATTGCCTGCGCAGAAGTCAAGCGCGCAAGTTTCACAGTAATGTGAAGTTGTATAAAACATTCAGTATAATATAATAAATACTGCAAGTAGTTGAGTGTAACATTGAAAATTTTCACCCCTCGAAAACCATTGTCAACCGAGGCGCATATATATATATATATATATATATATATATATATATATATATATATATATATATATATATATATATAATACTTTCATGTAAATACATTGTAAGTAGAATCTGATTCATCGAAAAACATTTGCTAAAAAAAACACTATTACACGCTGAATTATGAAGACACGCCTTTCAGCATACATGTAGCAACAATCAACAACGACGGGTGATATTCCCAAAAAAAATATTGACTGCGCAGAATTTATGTGCAGGGTTCACTGTTATATGTATATGTATAAAACATTCAGTATAATATGATAAATATTGCACGTAGTTGAGTGTAACAGGGGATGCTCCCTCCTCCATGGCACCTGATCCCACCTATATATATATATATATATATATATATATATATATATATATATATATATATATATATATATATATATATATATATATATATATATATATATATATGCCAGGGATAGTATCATACTTGACTACTCAAACTTTACTCTCCTTACAGGTATCTTCATCAAAGTGACGTCTGCGATCTGTATTGTTTTCAATAACCCAAAACAGTACCAGAAGAACATTTTAAGAGAATCACTTGTAGAGTTTTGCATCCGGTCGATAGGAAAATGTGAGCATTCCTTGCATATTTAATTCTATGATTTGTTGCTTAAAAGTGCTCATTAACTGGTGTGTGTGCTTGTGTGTGTTTCTAAATTATGCAGTTTACATAGTTTTTTTTTTTTTCAGAAATAAATTTATCCTAAAATGGAGAAAACAACAATCCTATTCATGGCAATTCTCTATCAGGTATGTACATGGAGGTTAATGTGAAAAAAAGTTGTACTAGCTGTATCTCTGATGGTTACAGATTTATGACGTACTTATACATGTATCATAATCAGGTACTAAGATGTGCAGATTCCTGTTTTGATCTACAAACAACAATTACCCGTGTTCCGGATTGTCCACGTACCGAGGCGGAGTGGAACGTAGCAGCAATACGTAAGAAGTGTGACTCCGTCTGTGACACGTCAAGGTATCACTGTCTAATCACCAAGGAAATGAATGCTACCATTGAAGTTTGTGCTGTACCGATGTTCATGCAAGGTATTCAAGAGTTTTAAGAGTGAAGTTAATGTACAGCAAGACATTTTAAAACTTTTCTCAACATAGATGTCCGTACACTATCAAATTTGTTGACTCTTTGTTCGTTAATCTACTTATGAAAGTGGGTTTTTAATGGAAATGAAGCATGATTAACTCGTATGCTAATTCGTTTGGTTCTCTGTCAGATATTGTTACAATTAAAAATTTTAAGAAGTGGTCGAAAATGATTTCATTAAAACATCTGATTTCATTAAAACATTGCAATACAAAAAGTTATTATATATGCTGATTATAAATTCTAAGAAAAGTTTTAACATATTACATTAAATATAATCAAACTTTCAATAAATATTTGAAATGTTTTGACCTATCTTTGTTTTCGAAGTATAATATTATATAAGATTGACATTGCTGATGTTACTAGAACTAAGCAAAACATATTCAAGTACTTAAAAAACTGCAATCTAAGTATATATTCATTATATACATATCTGTATTTATATATAGATTCCATGTACAGATGTATTTCAAGTCCAAATCAGTAGAACTACTGTCTTGTTTCAATGAATTAAATACTGCTTAATATTATAAATGATTTGATTGTGTGTAAAGTTGGTTTTTTGTAGGTTTCTGTGCGTATTTCAACGTGGAGCAGAACAGAATACGAAACCTGTATGCTGCAGATTGTTCTAAATTTACTACTCCTTGTCCTACACGATATGAATCGACTGAAGCATTTAAGTGTATGTATCTCCCTTAAAATCATCTTTACTCCTTTTTGTAAGATCAAATAAAATGTATCGTTTTAGCACGTGGAATTTTAGATTTCAGAAACTCTTATTTCCTAAATATTAACGGTATGCATGCCCAAAGAAAATTTCACTATGTTACTCCTATAAAGGGAAATTTCTGTGACTTGAACATTTTGCAAGTTGATCCTCCTAATGCAGTACTAAGATTTCTGCGTTTTCAACTTTGAAGGTTTTGTTGCGATTTTTACAAAAAAGGAAAAAAAAAGAAAATGGTAGAGTCGCAGAAATATGTTTTTACGAAATATATATCTGAAAATTTCGTGTTCTAAGATTGTGAGTTTATGTTTAAGAATTTCTTTCTTTAAATCTGCAGATCCCGCATGTTATGATCTTATTATGGTATACGCAACTGTGGCTCCTAAGCCTACAAGTTTGTCGACCGATTCCATCTCTCTCAATATTTCAGGGGTCCGTGTTAAATTGAATGGAATGATGTCCTCTGATAGCATGTATGTATACAGAAGGACAAAAAACTTCTCATTCATCAATATCTGTAATATCTTAAAAATAAAGAATGGATTTTACGTACAAATCAATTTTCCACCTTTTGCCGCTTAACATATCATTATTGTTGTTACGTCATCTCGTTCAGATTCACTGACGAAGCCTTTCTTTTTCAAGTAATTTATTGATTTTAGTTATTTAATTTATTTATTTATTTGCATTCTTTCAAGGTGAATGCATATTCCATGATTAAAACGAATACGTTTGGCTTCAGGTGATAACTCACATTGAAAAGAAAAAAAAACCATGACATTATACCGATTTAAAAAATATCGTATTTCATCGAAAACTTTTTATGTGTTCCTTATTTGAGATTTATATATCATAGCCAAGAATATAAATTTTAAATAATTGTAAATAATAGGAAATAATTTTATATGGCTTGTCTTTGTAAAGTATTGCGTACAAGAAGCGGCTATTAGACATTATCAGAAAAATTGTAGCAGGTTAATCTAATTTTATTCTTTATTTATGATGTGCATGTATTTGTTGACACTGGTTTGTTATACATGTATGGTATAGCCCTGTTTTACCAATCATCCTGCCTGTACTTCTCATCATCGTTATTGGAATAGTCATAGTCGTTGTAGTATGGATGAAAAGGAGAGGATCCTTACAGTTTGAAAAGCCCAGTGGAAAAGGTGAGTGGACTTGACATGCTTAATTGTAACATGCGTAATAAATAGTGTTGAGCTGTGCATAAAGCGACAAATCCCTTGAAAATTTTCAATTTCTAATGAAAATTAAAATCAGCTATCAAAGAGAGAATATACCATGTGTTTTCGTTTCAAAAACATATTACCTTCTTATTGGTTCAGATTTTTTTCTCAGAAGACGTCTAACATTTTTTTTCTCACTTCACTAAATGAAAGCGAACTTTACATAGCAGGAGATATTGTTTGATACATCTTAAAAGAAGAAAAATTTTGATAAAATTTTTTATGGCCATTATTTTTAAAATAAGAATTTTATTTATTTTTAATGATGATCAGTAGTGTCGATTTATTTTAGATTAACTGAAAAATTTGACATTAATAAACTTAAAACCATGATATGCAGCTGAAAAGCTTATTAATAAATTGTTTTCATGTCTAAATGTTTAATTTTAGGGTCGGATCTTGAGCAAAGACCTATTTCATTGGGTATGTTGGAATTTTTTTAAAAATATATTACAATTAAAAACACCATTATATTTAGACGTTTTTTTTTAAATAAAGAATAATTTATAAAATTGCACATGGTGTATAATTCTAAATAGTTTGCTGACAATACTTATTTTACTTTTCAGAAAGTCATGAAAATATCATAGGAGAAAGAGAAAAATTGTTAGGTGAATAAAAGGTTTTTTTTATGAAAGAACTCGCTAAAATAAGGCTTGTTTATACTTTCTACGTCCTTTTATCTATGGTAAATTAAATAGCATCTGGAAATCCTTTTTAGAAAATGAAGAAGATATGGAAAACGAAAGAGAGAGAAAACATAATGCTGAAATTGAAAAATTAAAGAGGCAATGTAAGAATAAAGTACTTTGTGCTAATTATTACATTATTTCTACGTACATTAGAAATTGATTCTTCATAATAATTGTCATTCCATTAAAATTGAATTAAATTAATCAAATTAAAATCAAAATTCCTCTAAACAAAACTGAGAGAATCAGTTTTGTGACTACCATAATTAAAACTTATAGATAAGCCACTATATTTGATTAGATGATGCACGATTAGAGGAAATGAACAAAGAAATTAAAAGGTTGCAACAACAGAAAGATATACAGGAGGGAGACAAGATGGCCTTAATGATGCAAGTGATAGAGAAAAATCAAGAATGCAAACAACTAAATAACAAATTACAAGAGGCAAAGGTACTGTATGAATGATGTATTCAAATTACTTGTATATTCTTTTATGAAGACTTTTATAGAAGAAAACGCGAAATAATCAAAACTATAATTTATTTCATAAAAACGTAATGATCATTTTTTTTTCATTTTACGGTGGCATAAATCACATTAATGTCAGACAAAACAACTGTCAGCTATAGGGGAATTTATATAATTTAACATGATTGATAATGTCTGAAGTTCTAAAGTAAGTATTTGAAACTAAAGTAAGTATTTGAAACTTGAACAGTATTGAGACTATTGCCTGTTACACACAAATTCATCAGCCGAGGTCTGGGAAAATTCATAATGTAGAATAGTTAACTAACATTTTAAAGAAAAAATCGGCAATGCCCGGAATGCAGAGTATGCATAGCTACTGTTAATGGATTATCCAAGCATTAGTACTATCTTTTCAAATTAGCAGACAAATTAAGCCAACCAAAGCTTTAGTTTATGCCCTTTTTGGGTATTTTTATGTTAAAATTCCTTTAAGAATTACTTGCTTAAGATAAATATCTGTGCCAAAAGTGAAGATAATTTTATTATTTCTCTATATATTGTTTTGAAAACCACATATAGTTGAATCGCTGGCAAATGGTCAATTTTTGTCCAATTTATTTCAGTACTTAAGACAGAAAATGTGTAGTAATCTTTTTCTAAAAGATCATTACATATTTAGTATTTAAGTAAAAGACAGTTCATCATTTACATCAGCTCTAAAATTCAAGATCAAAGTTGACTATATTATTTATTGTGCGTATATGACTTAAATTTTCATGTTGTACTTAAATTACAACATTACTTAAATATCGATGCTGATAGATAAAAACTATTGTTTTTATCAAATATAACAATTTCTTGGATTATCGAGAAGTTTATGGTAACATTTGTCAAGAAATGTTGTCATTCAAGTGATTTTACAAAATGTTGTTTTCGATGATATATATAGAAAAAATAAAATTATTTTCACTTTCGGCACACATCTGTACCTTGCTAATATGTAGAATATTAACCTGTTTCATTATTTCTTGCCTCGGTACCACATCTGGTAGGGTTGACTTTATAGAATCAGGATAGCCTTATTCTCATGAATACTATTATTTAAGCAAGCATTCGATCGCCCAAAATCATTAAAGTTGTGCCAATGAACATGAGAAAATGTGCACTAATCTTTCATACCTAATAATAAAGGGAACATGTTGGTAGTTTTCTATTTGTCAACTCTTGATAAAAAATGTTTGGAAGAAAGATGTTAACAATTAGCTGCAAACTGATATATTAGGTCCTAGATACAGTATGATTTGAATCAAATATAACGTTAATCACCGTAATGTATTCCACGAAGAGATGATTATCTTTCAAAAAATTGCAGCATTCTAATATCGTTATGAGAAACTAAATTAAAGGCATCACTGGTAGTTTTGATTCTGTGATTTGGATTTCATATAGCTGCCGTGTTAGAGGTAGACAGATATGATAATGTTGGTCAAAAGTAAATGGAATTTTTAATTTAATGCATTTGTTAAAGACAAAAAATTACACATGTTTGTCTAACACGAATATATTTTCAACAAAGAATTCTGTATGAAAAAAAGGTGATATTTAAACAAGGAAAGCATCAACGGTTGTATGATTCATGACAATGTGAACAAATGGTGCAACTTTTTTAATACAGTTTTTTTCATATATCACTTCGGAGAAAAGCTTTGATGAAATATTTTGGCTAAGATTATTTTGTTCAACAGAGATACAATTTTCTTTTCATACAGTCAAGGTAATTTGTGACACCAGTATTCTGAAAGTTTCTTGATACTTTCGTATTTTTAAATACCTAATACTGATATACTTCAGAGTGATTTTTTGCTGGTAAATATGCATGTACTTTTATAATTTGAAAGAATACAATCCTTTTGTATATCAAGTTTTTTAAAATACATGCATTGTTTTTGTTCAAGATAAGAAAAAAAAATAATAATAGTACACCTTAACTGTATTTGGCCGATTACTATCAGACTTGATTCAACAAGCTAAGCATGAGAAATCTCGATTATTGTTGCAGCATAAAAAAGTCCAGGTACTGTTTTGAATTTTTTCCATTTATCTTTTGATTGTTTTTATGCATTTTCATAATCATTTTATCATGCTGACTGTTAATTTCACTACTATGACGTCACGTTGTTTGTGTTTAATGAAATGCAGATAGCATGCGTAGTTTATTAGGTACATGCAAGTTTTTAATTATGAATAGATAAAGATCAATTCATTTTAGGGAAATATTCGAGTACTTTGTCGAATAAAAGATTGCGATGGTCCAAAGTGTTTATCTTCTGACTGCAAGTTTGTTAAACTGAATGGGACTGAGGTAACACTATAAACACAATGTTAACGTTAATTTCATGATAACAAAAACCTGTGTGAAAATGAATTTTATAAATGAAAAAGGACAAGATAACGAACAGTGATTGGTCTCAAAAAATCTATAAACAGTACAAATCTCTGAAGAGGGAATAAAACACGGAGCCCTGGAAATTCCAGAGGTGGGATCAGGTGTCTAGGAGGAGTAAGCATCCTCTAATGACCGATCACACCAAACGTGAGCCATATGTATTGATCAAATTCTAATTAGCAAGTATTAGAAATAAATGTTTACTATAATTTTCTTTTATTATTTAATCGTACTTTTACGTTTTTCTTAAATGTTTTCCCTAATAGATGTACTTTGTATGAATTTGTAAATAAGCATTTTTCCAAATTAATTGAAAAAGTTCTTATCGCAAAAAAATGTCGATTTTGTTTATTTACCTGCATTTCTATTTGCTATTGTTGAACACTGATGATATGCAAAAAATCAGAATACTTAGATTTTTCTAGTTTAAGATAAAACAAAATATCTTTATTGTTCTTGTCTGCCTCATTTATTGACTGAACCATTCACATGTCAAATGACGCTACGAGGCTTGCTTCTTTTGATAAACCTCTCATTTCAATTGGCTTGTTCTAAATTTTAAGTATGTCTATTCATATTTGTGATATCGTGCAAAAAGGGTTTATTTTTATTCCACTTAACATGTTATAGTGCTTTGTAAAAAAGAACAAAAATGCTTAATAAGTGGTTATGATTGATTAAACTTTTAAACATTGCAGTAAAGTTCATTATAATCTGGAAACAACATGACTTACTATATATAGTGGAGAGCCTAGATACCCTGTAGCCTTTGAAAAAAAGCATTTTATTTAACGTTTTTATTGTTTTCTTTGTGTCCTAAATTCAGAATTCATTTTCAGAAGAAATACACTTTTGAAAGAGTGTTTGGAGAAAAAAGCACACAGGTGGAGGTTTACAGAGAAATACAAGAGTTAGTCAGGGTATGTTGTAGATTTGCTAGGATCTCTAGAGAGTGTTCACTTGAAAGCCATACATGGAGTATCTGAGCTAAAAATAATAATACGAAATTGAATGTAAATGTATCCTTCATATATGCTTTATATGTTCAAATTAAAATGTTTACTGATTTTGAACTCGGATAACCTCATGCTTAGTTACATTGATTTAAACTTCGCTGTAATTGTGTCCGCCACGAGCATGACTTAGGAGAAATACGGCACAAAAGCTAGAAGGGAAGAAGATGTATAAATATACATGATATTGTTAATATAACATAATTTTCTCTTTACTCCTATCCGTATCCACCTGTCTCTTTCCCTCTTTTCTCTCTGAATCTGTTAAATCGCTTAAGGCCCTTTCACAATTGGTGCACGAGCAGAAGCGACAAAATATTAGTGCGACAGAAAAAAATTGATTTGGATCGTAAACTGTCGCCGCATATGAAAAAGTATTCGTACGATATTCGCACGATCTAAAGCGACCGTTGTGCATTAAATCTTGCGATATATCTTGCGTCTATACGCGACTGTTGTATAATGAAAGCGAGTGTTGTAAGACACTGCGATCGGATCGCGCTAGTGATCAGGTAATTGGACGACTGAACGTGCGCCAATGCGATTGAACGTGCGGCGCTCGTGCGCTTATGCGTTCCATGGTACGAATGCTCGTGCGAGTCAGAGGGGGTATATAAACCGGCCGTTTCCGAAGTTTTTAGTTGATATACATAGTTGAATGCGAGAGAAGATGCTTATACAGTTTATAAATACTAGTGGCAAAGGAAGGCAAATTGAGGCTGATAAATTATGCAATGATAGTAAAACGTTGCAAGATTACATGAGACATGTTGAACAACAGTCTCATATACGCAAAACACGCGCACAGAGAGCTGCGAATCATCTTACGACCTTTAAAAATCGTGCATCACTTTTACGAGTACACAAAACGTTGTTAGACGTTCGTACTAATGTTCGTGCGCTGCATTGCAATAATTTGGATCGCATTTGGTCGCGTCTGAATAGTGTGCATGTCCACTATTTTGAGGAGACTTGATGCGACCACTAAAACGCATGCAACGAATGCGAGACATCGTGCAACGTATGCGAGAGCTCGTGCGAAGCTAAAACATTCCGATCGCAAAGTGTTGTAAAGTGCTCGTGCGCCAATTGTGAAAGGGCCTTTATGTCCTCTGGTCTACCATTCGTTCTTATTGATCGCCTTAACGTTGATAGACTAAATATATTGACAAGCGATCAAATTAAGCCGAAGTTATTCAGATCTCTGTTATTTTTGTGTAGTCGGTAAATAAATCGGTTATTGATACCTTTGAAACGCGATTAATTTAAATTGTGTATTTTACAGAAAAGTTCTATCTTCACATAAAGTAATGAAACAAATAGAAAGATCTTTCCAATTTTGGTAATTTGAACTTATCAGACATACACCATATATAGCTTTAAATCATAACGAGATATTTGCTTCACATTAAATTGTCTTTGTATATTATAAGTATACTTGTGTGTGTGTAAATGTAATTAATGCATTTTGATGGCAGAACAGGTTGAGAAAAAAGCATATGGAATACCTCAATGTTACTTCTAGCGATTGTAAGAGATTTCATAAAAACCAATTTAGGTTTTATTCATTGCGTCTGTCTTTGATATCTTACAGAGTTTTCTTGATGGATACAATTTGAGTATATTCGCATATGGACAAACAGGGTCTGGTAAAACATACACAATGGAGGGACCAAACTGGAATAAAACAGCAAATAATGAAAATCAAGGCATAATCCCCAGAGCAATGCAGCAAGTATTTAAGGCAATTGAGGACTTGAAAGTTTGTGGATGGAAGGTAGGGATTTGATTTAAAATCCTGGATGATGGAATAAGTATATAATTTTCTTTGCCTTTTAATAGATAAAATCTAATAAAGATGAGAAGGCAAAACTTTAGCTCAATTATATATGGAGAAATGGTCCTTAGTTTATTCATGAGATTGCTTCCACATGATTTATTTTTATTGAATATTCATAAGATCCTGCATTTACTCGAAATTCCATTTCTTTAATTTTTCATATTAAAACTCGCAAGTCCCCTTCGATTTTGCTTTTTTTCTTCAAGTCACCGTCATGTAATTTATGAGTAGAAGTTTGTTTGATTAACAATTAACTCGTTATACCGTTTTTTAAATAGTAAGTAGGTCCACTGGTGCAAGAAATTGTCGTTTTCAAGATAAAAAAAGCTATCGTAACTCTTCATGAAATGATAAATTATTCTATTTTTAGGTCACATGAGTCACTCAGGTGACCTATTGCTATTTGTTTTTGTCCGTCGTCGTCCGTCGGTGGTAAACTTTTGAAAATTTTTCAGCTTCTTCTCTTAAACAGCTGAAACAATTTCAAAGTATAAATTTTGCAATTTTGGCATAAAGCAACAGTTGGTAAAGGGGTACAAAATTGTGAATTTCAATACCTTGCCTCCCCCCCCCCCGTGGCCTGAGGGGTTGCGCTTAAACCATCAAAATTAGTGTTATCTTTAAAAATCTTCTATACTTCTGTTCATCAAGCAGTCAAACTGTTTGCATGATTGTAATAAGCATTGATACCTCGACCAAAGTTTTAAAATTCTTAGGCCCATGGTCATGGGTTCTGAAGTTAGACTGGGACTCATTAATACATTAATGATTTAAAAATATTCTTCCTATCCCCTGTATATTTAGAAAATTAGTTACATGTAGATGCATGCTTATGATGAGTAAGGGTGCCTCTTCTAAAATTGAGAAATTTGTGTCCCCAGGGTAGGGGTTTTGGTGTTAGGGCGGGGCATAAATAATCATATAGTGAAAATGCATAAATTCTTTAAAAAATCTTCTTTTCTCTGGGATCCCACTGTATGTTTAGCAAAAAAAAAACCTAGGTGCCTAGTTATGAAGAGCATGGGTGCCTCTTCAAAAATTGTAAAATTTGTGGCCCAGGTTTAGGGGTTCTGGAATTAGGGCTGGGCTCAAATGATCATATAATGAGAATGCATTAATTCTTTAAAAATCTTCTTCTCTCCCCCAGTTTATCAAGAAAGCAACTAGACAGCCTGGTTATAATGAGAAAGAGTGCCTCTTCCAAAATTGTGAAATTTGTGGCCCCAGGTTTCGTGGTTCTGGTGTTTGGGCGGGGCTGTAATGATCATAGTGAAACTATAAATTCTATGAAAATCTTCTTCCCTGTTCCTGGTGATTAAGCAAACAATCAAACTAAGTGCATAGTTAGGATTAGCAAATGTGCCTCTTCCAAATTTGAGAGAACAAAAAGACCAATGTGAGAGGGATTGCAATTGATATTCTTATAGTGCTGAAGCACTTTTGTTTTGTTTAGTCAGAATGGTGATAGTAACAAATAGGGGCAGGTACAGATAAGTACAAATAAATCCGCTGTAACATTTGTTACTGAGTGATAGACTAATTATTTTGTTGATCCTTGATCATCTGATTTCTCTTGCTATTTGGCAAATATCATCGATCATCTATCAGTTTATTTTTGTTTTTATACCTATGCGGATCCTTTACAAGTTGTATTATACTCAGGCCTCTTTTTATGAAAATAGTCTTTCTCATTCACCTATCAATCGGCGGTAGAACTCTGTCAACTTGCAACACACATTTTCATTTCATCATAAAAAATAATAAAGAACCAATTCTCTTTCCTTCAATACAAAATATACCCTTTCTTTGAAATTTAAATCACAAAGCCAACTTTCACTTTGGTGTCAACAATCCTGTCATTCCCGTTAGGAGAAATGAAGAAAAATCAACCCTTCAACGGAAGAACTTTATCCAAAATTGTTAGTGTATAATTTTTTTTTTATTTTATTATTATTATTATTTTTTTTTTTTGTATTTTCTTATTTTTTTTTAAATATCTCTTTAAAAACCTTTATAGAATCTGCTGCCATTATAGCTCTGATATGACCGATATGCAAATGTACTGAATGAAATTTCTCCATATGAAGTAAACACATTAAAGAAAATATATACATAAGTCATACAAAAATGTGAAATTCCTTATTCTGAATCAACGCAGGTATGTTAAGGCAGTACCCAGGTCATATTTCGGCGAATTTAGACTTTTTTCGTAAAATTTAACATTGATAAATCGGAAAAGTCATAGATAAAACATTTACTATTATTATCCATCGTCACGTGACGTCTATAAATAGAAAAATTGCCTTAATGAAAAAGTGAAAAGTTCAACACTACCCCGGAGATAATTCATTTCTTTGAGTGAAAATATTTATGTAAAAACATCACTGGGTCATGAAAAGTGCTGCTAGAATCCTACTCTCCCGACACAGAAAAAAATATTCCAAAGTTCCGCATGAAACCTTACCAAAATTTTTACATTTTATACATACGATCAAGGAATTGTTATCAACTCATGTTAACCACACGATTCTAGCAGCACTTTCCAAGTACTATTGAATATAAGCTTTTGATACAAACAAAAATTATGTTTCAAAATATGCGGCGTAGTGTTGAACTTTTGCATCTTTGTTGTTATAGAACGACAGAGGAAAGGCTGATCGGGAGTTCAAAGCACTGCCTGTGTTCATTATAAGAAAACATGATAAGAATATATCAGCGTACCTGATTCTTAATCTTTAATTCCTTATGAATCACACATAACATTCACGTTATATGCTTTAAAACTCCCATCTCATATATTTGTTTACATGAATTCTCGTCACCTTTAATTTCACTCGGCAAATATTTGATCAATAGTTATGACGTCATTGGTTTGGTATTTAATCCCCGTGCTAAATAATTAGCTATTTATACCACCCAAAAAAGACAAGATTTAGTTTATATTATGTTTTGAATGATTCCATTTATTTCTTGGACCTGAAATTAAACTTTAAATATAGATAGGGTGAATTCACCATGCATCGGACACCCTCGCACTTCAACAAGTTCTAGCGATATCGCTACGGACCGAATATTATCAAAATGGAACTTAACATGTAGTATGTGGTTAAAATATAAATTTTTGACACAGTCGTGTCCTATTTATTGAGCAAATATCATTAAAAACCGATTTTTTCGAAATAAGTCAGAATTCACCATGGATTGGACAATATTCACCATGCATCGGACATACGATATTTAAACCAGAAAAATATTATACCTTGATCTCAGTGCTTTAAATTTAGTGATATCGAAACATTTTTATCTTTTATTTAAAAATTAACCTTCTAATTAAATTTGAATGACTATTTAGATCCACAAATGTGAAGAGCTTTTAATTGCATCACATCGCCTTAGAAAAGCTTTACAATGGTAGTAATATGGCAACTCGCGCCTTTGTCTCGTGGGTTGTCCTCATCTTGTTTAAAGAAATAAACTGAGTCCACTTCTAGTCGTCATATATCGATAATTTGTATTTTCACTAAAAATTTATAGTTTCTATTTTCTATTTCCGTAAAAAACAGCTGTCATTTAGGTTTTACATGAAAATGGAAGTGATCGCCCATGCATCGGAAAGTGTCCTATGCATGGTTAATTTGTGTCCGATGTACGGTGAAATAAACATACTAGTTAAAAACAACTCTAAAAAATATTATACAAACATTGAAGTAAATTTTTTGAAAAATTTCTGTAAAATTATCAATCATTGACAAATTTTACCTAGGTCCGACCCACTCTGTTGACGTCTCTTTAAAAGAACGACAACTCTAAAAATTAAAAAATCGTAAAATTCTGGTTACTCCCCTTTGATGATGCAAAATATGACGTTATTTCAAGGCCATTCTTGTTGTATTTTTATCACAACATGAAAATAAAAATCGGCATCACTAAAAAGTTTAATTCTTTACCTTTAAGACAGAAACAAGTAAAAACACGGGTAGACTCAGGTTCAATGAAAGTTTATTTCTTAAAGTTGTCCGAAGCAAGGTATGTGTCCGATGCATGGTTAACTCACCCTATTAAGAAATCATTATTTCTAAAGTTCACGTCATACAGCTTACTATGACGTCATATTGTAAAGGCAAGTAGGATATCTCTGGGTGTAGCCTTAACATATGTTAAGCGAATGTATAATAAAAGTTACTAGCCATTGTTGTTGAATAATTAATAACTATATACTGCATTAGGATAAATTAGTTTCAGATCTTATGCAAACTGTAGCAAAACGTCTTTGATTTTACTATATTTGATCATACATATTTTCAGTATCATTTAAAAGCATCGTACATGGAACTCTACAATGAAAAAATTCGTGACTTATCAAAAGGTTCAACTGATAATGAAGATCATGTTATCAGGTATCCAAAAGATAATGACAAAGCGATGGTTACAAATCTCACTGAAGAAGACGTTTGTAATGAGCAAGAGGTATGTAATAAACATTATCAATCTAATAATGTTATAAGATGGTTTAGTTCTCTATCCTTGAAATGCTTTTAAGAATCATTTGTTTGAAAAATTAGATGATTGTGATGAAAGTCTAATACTTATACTCTATCGTAGGTATTGAATTTTTACGAAAAATGTTCAAAGAATAGAACTTCTGCAAAAACGGAGAAAAATGAGAGGTCTTCAAGAAGCCATGCAATATTTAGATTGGAAATGACAGGAAAAGTTGAGAATGTAGAAGGCATTAAAGATACATGTTCAGGTGCATGTAATGAATACAATATGTCTTTTAATTAGAGCATCCCAACATATAATCGCATATCACTAGAAATGTGTTTTATTCTAAACGTAATGACATGTTTACTTTCTTTACAAATATCTGTATTATTTCCATTAATTTTGAACCTTTTAGACATTCAAAATTTTAAGTAATAGTTTATATGCAAAATCTTTTTGTTTCAGGATTCTTTTTATTTTTAGCAAAATTATAAATTAAGCACTGGGATACCAGTATTGCTAACGATGTTTCTTGATGACATTTTCTATTATTATTAAAATGGTAAAATTTCGTGACAAAACTCTCTAATGAGCATCATAGTCATCAGGCATTTTCTTCTTTATTATGTCATCAGGTACACTCACACTAGTGGATTTAGCTGGCAGTGAGAAGCTGGCAACCTCTATGTCAAGTACTGCGGGTCAAGAAACAAAAAACATCAATCTAAGTCTTTTGGAACTTACTAAAGTTTTGCGTAGTCTTCGATCAAAGGTATGATAGTATTACTAAGGTTAATGAGACATTGCTTAAATAATTTCAAGAGACAAAAAGAAATTTTCTGTTATAAAACAAGAGTATGTTTTCATATTCATCCTTAAGACAGCATTTATTTTATTCAATTACATTTTGCACATTGCATAAATATGTTGAACCTGAGTCAAAGGAGTGAAATTTTGTTGTTTCTTCTAGTCTGCCCTAAAAGTTTGAACATTTTATTGTTCTTCTCTGAAATGAGTTAAAATTAGTCATTTTGGGTGTGTAGTATTTATGGATGATGAATGCAGAGGAACAAAGACTGAGTTCCATTTGAGAAACCAAACCCTTCTCCAACATCCATAAGGGGGTAGGCCGGATCTCTCACAATATCATACAATTTCTACTCTTGAAAATGTAGCAGACAAACTGTTTGTTTGACAATAGTGAAGACTAATCCCTCCACCAAAATGATCACATTTAACCCCCTAGGGTTCAGACACCGGAACGTCCGTCATTTATTTCTTGAAAGTCGTCTATCATCATGAACATCTCGCAGGCAAACTGCATATTTTAGTGAATGGATAACTCTCTTGCAAAATGTTAAAGAATCCATGTTTGTGTTCATTGTATAGTCCTTAAGTGAGGTATTTGGATTTTAGATGCAAAACGTTAGATATTTTTAGAGAAATGGTGTACATGTAATGTACAAAATGGGGTTAAAGCGAACATATTTATGATATTTGTGACAAACCTCATGTATTACAATTATGAACAAAAATCCTCTATCAAATTGTAAAAATTCATGTCACATTGGTCCAGTTTTTTAATACCAGATGGGACTGAATTGGTCATGGTCTGAGAAATACATCATACTTAACCCCTGTGCGCATTGTGTTTTTTCCCATTTTACTACATATAGTTCATTTTGTTTTATTTTTCTTTCTTCGTATAATTGCTATAGTTTGGGATTAATAATTAATGTTTGTAGGACCCTACTACATACAGAAATTCAAAACTTACACATTTGCTGAAAAATTCTTTGGGAGGCAACAGTAAAACTCTGATGATTGTAAATGTTTCCCCTGCTACTGAATGTCAAAATGAAACAGTGAGGTCACTGGAATTTGGGAGAGACGTATGTTTCAGTTTTTCATTGAAATAAATCAATTTTTTACTTGAAATGCCAGGAAATTAAATGATATTTAATACAAATTCTTTATTTTGAAGGTCAGTAAAGTTATACTCGAGAATATTCCAAGGAAGAATAAGTAATTTTAGAAGACTTGCTTTTGAGTAAAGTAAATAACTTGTATGATTTCCAATTTGTTCTGCATCTTAGTTTATGTTAACGATCTAAATGAACGTAAGATACCCGTATTTTAGAAAAACAAGACTATGCACGAAACAAGTATATGATATGACATGTTGTGTATTAAGAATTAAACTATTCTTGTTAAACTGCATAAATGAATGCATGATATGAAGTATGCGAAATAATAATTTATTTATTATATCCAGAGTAAATAATATGAATACTTATTATAAATCTTAAAAATATGTATTTTATTGCATATTTGTATTGTCCTGCAAGAGTACGATTTGTCTTCATTTTTGTACAATGAAATACGCATGCCTGAGACTCTTGATGTATATGTACTATCTTTTTATTACCTTAAGATAAATTAGCTTCCTTCATCTTCAAGAAGATCCTCGAATGGGACGTTAAACAACAACAATTAATCAATCTTCAAGAAAACTGTTTTCATTGTTTGTATCTTTGACTGGGGTAATATATCATGGCTTAAAATCAACAAAACCTCTAGATGCATTTTTCCATCCATGGTACATATTAAATATTTTACAAGTTTTATATAAGAAATATACATGTAGAATCATGTATTTCTTTTTTATATATATTTAATTTGCTATTATTGAATCCATGTTTTTTTTAAAACTGTGATTTGCTTTTTTGCAATCAGAAAATATAGTGGTTGTCATGTCAATAAAATTTATTAAGATACATGGCTTTTAATGAAATGTCCCTCTGTCACCCGGCCAAGAATCAACTAAACTATATATACGAAGGTTGTTGGAAAAGTTCGCGGACAAGCTCTAATGTGAGCGTGCTTTTTGCATGAAATTAGTAAAACTCTGCAGATAAAAACTGCAAAGATTTGGTGTTTTCCGATGATCTTTAAAACCTAAACACCTAAATTATTTAGATAATACATGCTTCAAGGATCACTGCACCGAGCTATTAAAAATTATGTGTGCAGACAGGAAAATGCCCGAAAGAGACTAAAATGTTTTTAGATGCTGCTGGGGATTGCCTGCACTTATCTAGTACCAAAGTGTTTTAGGGGTAGCAATTTAGGTAAAAATGGAAGGATTGATTTTTTTTTTTTTTTTTTTTGATTAGCAACTCCTGCGATACCCCAATATCCTTCTCATTGTTTGTAATATCTCACTAATATCCGATACGCCACAAAAGATGTTTTAGAATATATATATATATATATATATATATATATATATATATATATATATATATATATATATATATATATATATATATATATATATATATATATATATATAACATGTCCTGATACAGTTATTCAATTTTTAAGTAATAAAAAGACATGAAAAGTCTATAGAAATGAAAGATATTCAGAACTGTGAAAAAGCTTAACAGGTCTTGAATCAGGTTGTCACGTCACCTAAAGTCATTAAACGTCAAGTGATTGCTCCGTGAATCCTATGACTGCATAGTAAAAATCATTATATATTTTCAAACGTTTAGTAAATGGACCTGATTTTTACCTACTAATAAACAAAAGATAAGAATTTAATTAGACACACGACATTCTTCAAAGTGCACAATATATTTTCCGTAAATCAATGTATCAGAGAAAGTTTCTAACAACCCTTGTATATGACAAAGCGGTGACGTCAATTTTCGATTGTCAACTTTCTTTCTTTTTACATATATATTTATATCATTTGTATCCGTCTGTTCCTGAAAATATAAGTTGTCAACAAAGAAGTTGTCGGCTTAAGCATTAGTTATATTCTGAATCACAAAAAGTCCAGTCTTGTATTCAACCATATTCTTAAAGTTGAAGTCCACATCTTGTATTTCTACACACAAATACTACGAGATTGATAAGAAGATGGTTTAGTATCTTATTGACAATGTGTAAATTTTGGAGACCAGGTCTTCAAACAATCTGTTTGAACTTTCATTCGTATATACACGCCTATAAGTCGGTCCGCCTATAAGTCGGTTGTATTTTTTAAGCTTATATTAGAGGGATTGACCAAATAAAATACCAATCTTTTTATAACTCGCGTATAAGTCGGATAAAGACTTTTGGACCAAAGTTTAACTCCCAAAAAACCGACTTAAGAGCGAGTATATACGGTACGTTTTTGCGTCGCCTGTAGAGCGACACTTGGGGATCGCGACACTTAGGAACCACTTTGATCGGCGTCTATCTGTCTGTCCCTCTGTCACATCTTGTATCTCAAGAACTTTAAGAAATATGGATTTTATATTTGTCACATATATTGCATGGCAGTATGGCTTTAGTATAAATTGCCACTGTTACCGACCTCGTGGTCCTTGACCTTTGACCTACTTTACAAAATACAGCATATTTTTAACAATTAAGAGGTAAGTCTTTGAAGGTATCCCACTTTGAAGGTATCCAATGGTAATGATACAACAGTTGTTGATTATTGTATAGCATCACCTACTATTTTTAAAAACATTATAGAATTCGAAGTACTACCTTTTCATCCTATGATCAGTGATGTTCACAGTGCATTGCATTTTCTTTTTTCTTGTAAAGAGAAACAAACTGATTCTCTAATCAAAGGGAATGATTATGTATGCATTAAATCTAAGTGGCTAAAAGAGAATACTGATTTTGTGCACAGTCTAAATGATGAAGAGATTGATGTTTTAAACCATAGAACTGAAACCTTGGATTTTAATACAATTAACCAAGAGATAGTTGATGATATATTTAATGATTGTAATGCAATAATTAAAGTTGCTGCTTCATCAAGTGATATGGTCAAACCCTACAAGCTTGATTATCACAAATATAAGAAATCTAAACCTAATAAACCTTGGTTTAGTGCAGAATGTAATGTAAAGCGTAAAAATTACCACAAATTCAAAAAATATCACTGGCGTATGAAAATTTGTTTTCGTCAGAAGCATTATGTCAGGAGGTACAAATGAAATATGGAGATTACGAATTTAAACAATACAAATCGGGAGCAGACCAAACGCGGACCTCAAAAATACATCAGAGGTGGGATCAGGTACCATAGAGTATTGTGCATCCCCTGCCAACCGGTCACAACCGCAGTGTGCTCCTTGTACTGATCGGGGGAAAACGGAAAAATCCCTAGACAATTCAGTGTACAAAAAACAAATAGAAGTCAGAAAACGTATCAGATAAGCTCAAATATAGCTTTGAGTATGTCTGATTCAGGTAACTTAAAATTTTATGTCGCAGTGCAAGACATTGTGTTTCACAAATTAGGTTTAAAGAAATATACATCTTAACATTTAAATGAAATATGTGGAGATTGAGGTTCGGAATTCACAAATACATACTTATTTAAAGATGACAAGCAGTATTCAAAGAAATTGTAATTTGTTAATCTAAAGTTACCGAGAGAAAAATAGAAGAATGCATTGCAATCCCTCAGGATTTTTAAAACTTGAGGATGGGAGTGAAAAAATTATAATAAAAAGACTGAAAGATTCACGCTGGTATGTTTAGGCTAGATCCAGATATTCTAATTGCCGTAACGTGAACTTTAGAGATAATAATTTTTAAAATATCTGTATTTAAAGTTTTATTTCAGGTTACAGAAACGAATGGAAACATGTAAAATATAATATAAACTAAGTTTTGTCATTTTTGGATGGAATAAATAGCGAATTAATTGTCACTGAGGTTAAATACCAAACGCATGACGTCATAACAGCTGATCAAATATTTGCCGAGTGAAAATGAAACTAACGCGAATTCATGTAAACAAATATATGAAATAGGAGTTTTAAAGTATATACCATAAATGTCATGTGTGATTCATAAGGAATTAAAGATAAAGAATCAGGTACGCTGATTTTTTTCGTATCATTTTTTTCTTATAATGAAGACAGGCAGTGTTTTGAGATCACGATCAGCTTTTCCTCATTCTTAGCAACAAAGTGCTAAAGTTCAACAATACGCCGCCTACTTTGAAACAAAGCTTTTGTTTATATCGAAAGCTTGTATTCAACAGTACATATATACATTTGTGGTATCTCTCTATTATATAAACATACAGAGAGCAAATATCTTCATACCTGTATGAAGTTTTTTGAAGGTCATAGGTCATTACGTGACCTAATCACGCAGTAATATCTACATAAAAAGACTTACTATACTAAGCAATATAGCATGCTTTTCATGTATAAAAATGTACAGAATACGCAAGTAAAATGATAATCATTTTATTTACAATGAAAACGAGTATTTAACACAGTTCTTGATCGATTTTACATAGAGAATAGAAAACTACGTGTTACATGTATAAGTTTCATGTCTGAGCTCCATAGTCTCAACGTTTATCCTTATTTTCCTTGTAGACCTCTGAATGTTATTTTTTTTTATTAAGATTTACTCACAATAAATTTGAAAATCTGTTGTAAAATATCAGTGTAATGCAATCACACCACAAACAGCTTTTTTTCGTTTTGTACATACTATCGAGATTTATTAAATCATGTTTACCACACGATTCTAGCAGCACTTTTCAATTAAGAAATAAATAACAAGTTTGAAATGAAGTGGGTCAGTCGTGATCGAATCTTCTGAGAAGGCCTTCGGCCTTCAAAGGATTTGATCGCGTCACCGACCCACTTCATTTCATAGTGAAGTTTTTAAACTTGTTATTTATTTCTTAATTGAAAAGTGCTGCTAGAATCGTGTGGTAAACATGATTTAATGAATATTTCTCGATAGTATGTACAAAATGAAAAAAAAAAATTTGGTGAGGTTTCATGCGAAACTTTGGAATATTTTTTTCTGTGACGGAAGAGAAGGATCCTAGCAGCACTTTTCATGGCCCAATGATGATTTTACATAATTATTTTTACAAAGAGAAATGAATTTTCATGGGGTAGTGTTGAACCTTTCACTTTTTCTTTAAGGCAATTTTTCTATTTATAGACGTCACGTGATGACGTTGTAAGAGAGTGCTTATTTCAGCATAAGACTCGTTGACGTCTATACAATGGATAATTATAGTATATGTTTTATCTATGGCTTTTCCAATATATCAATGCAACATTTTACCAAAAAGTGTAAATTCGCCGAATAATGATCTGGTACAGCCTCAACATACCTGCATAAAATCGGTCTTTTAAAACCAGGCAATTGCAAATTCGTGTTGAACATCATAAGGTAAAATATTATATTTTGACAAAAATTATATTCAGATAAATTTGTTCATTTATGATAAGTCAGAAGTTGTTCAAACAAAATGTAATATAAACTTTTGTCTTTGATAATGAAGAAAAAATAGTTGTTAAAATGATCCCATTCTTATGGGACTCCCATGTTGTCGAGCTCCCTTTGCATCTGACACACAGCGCATGCGCCGCAGAACGACAACACCAAACAGTCATTACAGGCGGATCCCTATACGAAATAAAAATCAAATATCTGATAAACCTAAGTAATTTTTTTTTTTGATTCCTTTAATGATTACCTCGGATATTTACATTTCTTCGGGCAATCTAAAGAGGGAAAATAAGATTTTGTGAAGGGTATGTTGATTTTTTTATATACCTGGATGCCTCCAATGGTTCTTATTCTGCTTCTCATAACGACCGTTCCCCCGGGAACACAGTACGGCATACAGCAGCACTCCCCAGTCCTGGAGGCCAAGTTACAGACGGTACACGGTAGACAGAAGTACCCCATTATGCCTATCATATTATGAATAATATATAAAAAATATTGGACATGTAAAATAACATTATATCTTCTACATGTCTTCTGACTTTAGAATGTATAGGTATATGTTGATACTAATACGTCATTTCTGCACAAAACGAACCAATGAATATCGTAAAGAAGCCCAACCAATGCTAATTAATAAAGTGCAATATAATTTTAAAGGCGATTTTTTTTCTAGAGAAATCGAATAATAGATTTAATAGATACTAGAGGCGGGCAACTTTTTTAAGGATAAAATTAATTAAAGCCAACACTAAAGCTATTACTTTGAGGCAACGAATACTTATCACTTAAACTAAACAAAGGCATTTTTGCCGCTGTTCACAGATTTATTATTGAATCTTGTAGGTTTAAATAGTTGTATGATAGAAATTAGTTTATTTATTAATTTATTTATTTGTAAAATTGTGCATAACAAGAATGTGTTATATATAAAGAGAAAGGAAATCGTAAGTTGTCAGAACTTATTTCCTATCCAATTGATTATGTCAATAAAATATGTTAAAAAAAACTATGGATAAAGATAATGACTTCTGTCTCTTTCAAAAAAGTTCCCTGTCAGATCGATCACACAAACAATAAAATGTAAAGCGATAAGATATGATACGACATCGACATTTTTTTTAATTATAAGCTATTTGAGTGAATGTTGTAATGAAAAGTCCATTTAATGTGAGAAATTCTATTAAAATATGTAACGTCAAAGAGATACTTTAATTAATTTTAAAAATGACATTGCATGGATCATTCTGTATGCATAAAAACTATACAGAGCAAAAAACATACAACTAATAGGAGATGTAAATATCTTCTTGTATTTTCTTTCAAGAAATATTTATGTTGCTCTTCATGTATTCGGGAACTGTTGGTATTATTTAGTACGTATACAAACAAGATACTACATGTAGATATGTGCAAATGTCTGCTTTTAAAGTTATTTGATAATAATTTACAGTGAAAATTTGTCCCTTTTTGCTTTTGGACAATTTGCTATCATCTTTAATGAGCGCAGTTAAGACTGAAAAACGTACGAACTCTAAAGAGCCAAACACCTTTCAATGCATATAGTTTTATTGCCATTCTGACGGCCTCATGGATGGTCTTTGCAATGTTTTTCAAATGAATAGCAAATACATGATGCTTGTTATGTTGTACATACATAATGAACAATTTTTTAGGATCTACCAATGAACACTTACATGACGTGATGTCTGAGAAGCAATCAAAGAGTCCAGTGGTCCAGTTTCTGTGACCGTCTATACCTGTGACCATCAAGGGATTGCCTGTGCCTGCAACAGGCTGCTGAACGACCACAGTGGTGGACATTTTGTTAAGAGACTTTAGTGAAGGCTATGTATCTGTAAATTAAAGGAAAATTACTGTTAATTTTTACGAGTGTGTTGAATATCCTTGTTCGGAAAATACTACTTCTCTCAAAATATTCTTAAAACACGAAATACATAGTTTTATTGCTATTTGTATGTACATTGTATTAGAAATATGCAATAAAATTTGAATTTTTTGCTATCTGTTATATAAATAGATCATTGCAAAAATATAATAAAATACAGCTGGTATTTTCTGTATTTATTTTAAACTATTCCATTCGAGAAAGTACATGCAATAATTATTGTGTATTTTGCACAGTTTGGTAATTTTTTTTCTAGGTCTTATCACGATCAAATAAAAAATGTACATGTGTGTGGGTGTGGGTGACATCTTTCGGTCAAGACAAGATTTTTTTTTTAAATCCAGATTTTCTCAATCGTAGATATGAAATCATCTAAAATATTCAAAGATCACTGTATCTTAAATATAGAAGTTCTGAAGGTTTGGTTCAGAAATTTATCCACATTCATTTGTGTTTAATATATTCTATAGACTTTTTGTATAGATATTTATCAGAAATAATAGTAAAATGGCATGAACTAATGTATATCTTTAACGATACAAGGGGCTTTTTTCCATATCATAATCACATACATGTAGCTTACTTCTAGATGGTTAGGAGTAGAAAAACTAATTATAAAGTACACTTTAAATATTTGAACTTAGGCTATCCCTAGGACCTGAGCAATTGGGGCACACATTTCACAAATTTAGTAAACAGTTGATATGGGGGAGCTTAAGGGGTGTGAATGTCATTATTTTTTCCTAGAAAGCTCAATGTTCATCATAATCATGGAAACCTTTTACTATAAGAACTCAATAACTTTAAGGCAGTTTTAATATACGTTTACTTAAATAGCTCAATACTTGGAAGTGAACCACTGACCTGAAGACCCTAAATTTGGTACAGGGCCAATTTCTTATTTTAATCACGTAAATAGTATTCCTGCCTGGTGTCCATGAGAGAGAGGAAGGATTTAAATGGTTTAAAATGATTTAAAACTTTATTTTCAATATCTTACTAGGCTCCATCCTAGATCTTGAACAATGAACATGTGCTTATGAATAATACAACTTTGACAGAGAGCCAAATGCTCAATATAATCTTTTAAATGTACAAAAAAAATAATATGTTTAAATTTGGCCACATCCCAAAGATTTCACTGGGAGAGAAGGAAGAAGAGCCAATAAAATGCAAAGGTTTTGGTATTTATCCCTTCTACCTTGCATGCTTTATACCAAAATTGGTAAAATGTGGTGTAGCTTTTGGAGAAAGAAAAAGCACGACGGGCGATAATGATCGAGAAAAGATAGCAAAAGCTAGCTTAAAACTCTTTAGTCACCTACAAGAAAATTTAAAAGGATATCAATGATTTGTCATTTTTTATCAAACCCAAATTTGAATTCAATATACAATGAAGTAAAGGTTTATCTTTCTTTAAAATAATAAACATTTTAACGAAAGAATTCAATGTTAACACTTAATGAATTTGATTTTCTTAACGGAAGACTTACCCCCTATTCTACGGAGAGCGTTTGATATTGAAATGTATATTCACAATCACGAGGCCGGGGAGAATTTGATAAAAGGCACATGAATCTTAATAATTGTTATCTTAACTGGCTGATAAATCGTGTGCGCTATGTAAATTCACATTAAGATACATCTAAGACTTTCACGGTTTGTTTACGTAATCACAAAGATACTTCATATTCTTTATCTCACTAGCCACAAAAATATGTTTCAAATCTTTTCAGAAGGGTACCTATGCAAATATATGTAACTTATTTTTGGAAGTAAAATAACATTTTCCTTTTTTGATCTGCTCCTGATTTGTTTTGCTTCAATGGACTTTTGAGCTTGATTACTGTTCGTTATCTCCATATTTCATTCTTTAAAACAGATTTTATTATTTGTACCTCTGATCTTCTAGCTCTATATGTTATTTTGTCGTGATAAATTCCTTTTTATGTCCTTAAATTTATTTTTGACATATATATGTTTATGCTAATATTTGCATTATTTTTGGCAGTGTTATTTATACCCTGCTTATAAGGAATGTATGCATGGTGATTAACAATCTTTTGTTCAATATACTCTTTCATTGGCCACAGCTTTCATTCTAATGTACGTTAAGGATCACAATTGTTCAGGTAAACTTGTTTCTTCATGAAAACAGTTGTAAGAATATTTAGGAATGCACCGTACATTTCACACAAATAACGAAGTATAATAATTCGGGGAAACAGAAAAGCTGTAGCGGATTACTTTCTGGAAAAGTGAAAATGTTTTACGTCTCCATGAAAAAAAATCTATGAATAAATATGTTTCATGCATTAAATTTTCGATTATCTTTCTTCAACTTGTAATATAAAACAGTCTTTAAACTTAAAAGGTATCATATTCTCGGTTATAAAATTTACATGCAATTAACTTTGGAATGAAAGGAAAACATCGTTGAAACATTATACTTAATTGGATGGGATAAATGGCAATACCTATTAATACTTTCTCCATTCAAAAGAGGATGTGTATATATAAATAAATGAATAAGAAGTTATAGAACGGGTAAGAGCAACAGGAACACAAATAATGAGATAAATATGAGCTAGCACAAAATGCAGAATTCTCTCAATTGCGAGATCAAGGGAAGCGTTTGACCTATTGTTTATGTGTAAATTAAGAATAAATAACGAGATGGTGTTGAACATCTTCACTGGGGTCGGAGGCCCAAAGTGGGGGTGTTTTCTCTTAACTATTCAACATCATCGATTGTTAGTGCTGCTTTAAAAAACTTCCATAGAGCCCTAGCCAATCATCTATATATCCAGTGTTGTATTACAACAAAGAAAACCAGCCAAACATAATCACGTGACTGCTATGGTCTAACGTGATGGCAGATATCTAAGGAATGAATTTATTAGCTACCCAAGTCATATTGTATAACCAGTGGGTTGATGTAGTTTACACTTTTATTCTAAATTTATTCGATATGCTTATGTCGATACGATATATCCTTGTGAACTTGAGATAAAAGATACCACAGAGTCTGACACATCTGTTTCATATTTGGATATTTTACTTGAAAAAGACGTTAATGGTAATCTAACAACCAAGCTTTATGATAAACGTGATACCTTTAACTTTTCAATCTTCAACTTCCCTTCATCACCTGCATACGGGGTATATATCTCTCAGTTGATTCGATACGCAAGAGCATGCTCTACGTATGTACAATTTCTAAAACGAGGTTAATTATTGACAAATAAGTTGATGAAACAAGAGATTCAGCTGTCTCGTTTAAAGTCATCATTTCGTAAGTTCTATGGTCGATACAGTGACCTTGTCAGCAAACACAATTTGTCATTGAGTCGGGTGCTGACTGGCGTTTTTCGTGCTAATTGTTAGGCCATTATTTACACACTGAATTGTCGACGGATTTTTCCGTTGTTTCCCGATCATGACAAGGAGCACACGGCGGGTGTGGCCGGTCGGCGGGGGGTGCTCGCTCCTCCATGGCGCCTGGTCCCACCTCTGATGTTTGGAGGTACGTGTTTGCTCTGCTCCTATTTTGTATTCATTAATGGACTTTTGGGCTTGAGTGCTGTTCGTAATATCCATATATTTCATTATTCCTTATACTGAGCATAAGGAGTAGATTACACTTGCCATAGGTAAGGTGCCTGTGGCACTGAAGCTTTTTATATGCAATACACGGAAAATTATAAAGGACACGCACGTCATCAAGCAAGTCATCTAATATCACATATATTATATTACATAGCCGAGGAACGCTCTAAGCAATTCGACTGCACTTGTGTGCATAAATTACAAAGTGAAATCAAAACCGAGTTTGCAATGGAGTGTCTAAAATGAATTTCAAAGCTTCGGGTAGACTTACATAGCTGCTCATCCCTGTAGTACTTATCAGCAAATTTTAAAGGGCGTTAGGTTAATTAAAAACACAGGTATAAAAACCTTTCCTCTCATACATCTTACTTCAAGTCTGAAAATAATTTATTTCAAGCATTTCTCCAATATTTGGAAATACACAACAAATATAAAAAACCCTACGTGGTATTTCAAGAAATTAAGTTCCGTCATATGATTACCTGCCTAGTTAAAGTTAATCATGTAGAAAATTTTACGCAATGCTTTTAGATGAAATTAACTTATTAAAGCGTTCCATATAGAGGCAAGTTTTTTTTAGTTTAGAACTGTTTGTTTGGTATGCATGATAGAAAGCTCTGTATGAAAATTTGTTTTATTAACCGCTCTAGAACTGGTAAAAATAGTCCTATAATGCGTATACTTTATTTTTTTCCGTTGTACATATAAAATTCCAATAAAAAATAAATTTTCGCCAACATTTGACATTGTATTGTTTTTTTTTTTTTTTGTTTTTTTTTTTTTTGTTTTTTTTTTTTTTTTTTTTAAACATTTTTATCTCCAATTTTCACATCTTATCCTTTTACGGGATTCTTCAATAGCATTAAATTGCTTAAACTTTTAAATATAAATTGATAGAAAAAGTATTATAAAGTATTATAAATGGCCTTTTGACTTCCAGAATTAATATGCAGTGTCTTTGGTGGTGAGGAAGCCTTGCCCTTGAAGAAAAATAAATGTGAATTTACATGTTACGAGGTATTTGTATTATATATTTGTCTTTACATGGTATGAGGAAGAAAATATCAACATTTAAATTCATTTTTATGCTGATTGACTATATATTCGAAAATTTATCACTTATATAGAGATATCACCTTACATGCAAATTGATACCTTTACTCTGCAAGCGACCATTGAGCATTGAGGGTCATTCAGCGTGCTAACGCCTAATGAGACAATTAAACTGAAAAAAAAACTTTCTCAAGTAAAAAAAAAACCATTGATCAAAGAATCCAATTTACCTGAAAAGTATCACAATAACTCAAGATATATAGGAAATTTTGTTCAATATGTGTTAGGAAAGCCATGTATTACATTCTGTCATGCTGATTATACATCTTCATTTAAATAATTCTAGAGTAGCCTTTATAATTTTGTAATATTCATGACATTATATATTTTTAAATTTAAAAAAATCGAGCTCTTTCCAGGTAATTATAAATTGCAGTGATTAACTAAATGCATAAACGTGACTCAAAAATTAAAAGTCAATATGCATGCATTGAAAAAATAAACGTTGTCAGGACATGTAATTATCTTTTTAAAATTTATTTTACTATCTAGGACACAGAGCGAGTATACATATGATATATAGAAGCTTCGGAGAGCAGACTTAACACTTTTGTTTAAAAAGACAGTTTCTAGTTATTCTGTGAGATATCTTCTTTATGGAACACCCATGTTGTCGAGTTCTCTCTGCATCTGGCACACTGCACACGGACCACAACATGACAGTACCATACAGTCATTGCAGGCGGAACCCTACGAAGAAATTGATTAAAAGGGATTCGAATGTAAAAACTGTAAACAATCAAAAGTGAACTTAAAACGGATTAGAGGATTAAATTTTATATTGATTTTTTAACATGATTGCGTGACATTTTTCACCTGAATGCCGCCAATGGTTCTGATTCTACTCCTCAAAACGACTGATCCTCCCTGAACACAGTAAGGCATACAACAGCACTCCCCAGTCCTGGTGGCCACGTTACACATGGTACAAGGAAGGCAGAAGTATCCAATTATGCCTGCGTTAAAATTGCCATAGAACTTATAGATAATAGCAATGTTATTTTGACGTTGTAAAGATTGATGCTATTAAACAAGTCATCTTTGAAACTGTTTTCAAGCAAAAATATGATTTTGTTGAGTTGAATTAATGTTCTTGTTCCTTTAACTTTCCTAAATGTCGAGACTAAATTGAGTAACTTTTTAGTTCTGAGTTATATATATTAAAGGGAAAATTAACGCATGCAGGGCATGTTTTTTTGGAATGTATTTTCCATGATTTATATCTTACAAATAGAAATTACTTTAATCGACAAGGTTACAAATCTCATTTGATTTTGATTGATAATTCGAGAGTTATTGAAATTCATTTAACGGTACACCAAAAGTGAATTTGAAAGATTCGTCATTATGTTCTATGCGTCAGTCGCGAATCTTTTTACAGTTTTGATTCTTCTTGCATGGAGATTATCGATGCATTTATCTTTCTCACAGAGAAATTATTCAACCCTTAGAACGAGATACTGAAGAGTAATTTGGGTAATTCGACACATTCTTACCCAACTGTCCAGTTATTCCCAAATATGTTCGATTGGAGACAAAGGCGGAATGTACACAATCAATTAGTTTTATGTTATTGCTTGCGAGAAAATATTGACACACTCTCCACTGCTCCACCTTACAGCAACAAAATGTGGAGGGGGGGGGGACCAGTTTCTAATGTAAAAGGTAAAGATATCGAACATTGGTCGATCTCAGAAAATCCATAAACAATACAAATATGTGACGAGGGCATAAAACACTGACCCCTGGACATTCCAGAAGTGGGATCTAAATGAAAATTTAGCAAAATCCTTTACTCAGAAAAAGTGTTGGCCGCCCCTACCCCCTACCCCTGCGTTCTATGGACCTGATTCTGGCAATATTGGGCGTGGGGTAAACATGCTGGAAATGAGACATACAGTGCACACGGGAGCGATTGGAAGGAATATCAACGTAAAGTCGACAAGCTCGAGGACGAAAATCGTGCAATCGATCTCTTCCAGTTTTGGGTTGAATGTGACAATTGTGATTGCCTACTGAATTAGTACAGTTTTAGTATGGTGAAGTGACGATTACGTAAGTAGCAGGATGGGTAACCCTCTCTGGACATGGCATCGTTACGTGCGGATATCCCCTTTCACAGTTGATCGGAAACCATTTCATTCCTCTCTGACAAGTCATGACATATTTAAGTTCGCTAAAACCTGCACAACAACCTGTCACTGCCTTTGTTTGTACTCGGGAAAAGCAATCTCCAGACCCCATTGAACTTCTGTCAACCGTACCATGATTGCAAAACATTCAAATTGACTGTAAATAGCGAAAAACGATGTGTATTCCATCAGAGTATCAAGTTGTATAACAACATGTGTTGATAAACCTATACATGTCACCGTCAATCTGCACCTTTTAAAGACTTTTCACCACTTTACCTATTAGACTTTATACCGTTTACGTTTCAGTAATTTTGAATATCCATATCATGTATAGTAATCATAATAATCCTTAGAACAATTACATGTATAATAATTTTCTTCAAATTATAAGAATTTGGTCACTCTGAATAAAAATAGCTTCCCAAAACTATTCAACCGTGAAAGTTATCTTCCTACCTACGCAAAACACAAGTAGTATTATAAGTACAAGTTTGTCGAATATTTGTTTTTATAATTCTTAATACTCTGGTGGTATACACATTATTTCCGTTATTTCCAGTTAATTTGCATTTGATGATTTCATGTTACGACTGATTGAAGTTCAGAGGGGTCAGGTTATTGCATAGCTTTTAAGAGGTCAAATTCAACAACTGTTTGATGTGCAGTTTTTTATGAATGTTCCCGTTAAAGAACCATCATCAGAGAGAAAGCGGAAGTGCCGTCGCCTATCGACGCCACGTCAAAACAAAACTACTCCGCTTCCAAACTGCGTAATCATCAAGTTATTACTTCTGAAACCACTTATAATACAGTTGGTATTTAAAATCGTTACGTTCACCCAAACCCGGAAGAAGCCAATCTTGTGAGTTTGTGAGCTTATTGCCCTTATGTTTGTCCCTTCGCATATCTTACGGCTAACTTTCCAGCATAATGACTCCCTGTCCCATATAATCAGAGTTTGTCAAAACTTTTTCGCATACAATCAGATTAATGTAGTTCCACATTTGTTGAACCTTTGTTTGGACGAGTGACAGTAGGGTAAGATGGCGTTGGAATGCTACTCTCGATTAGCTTAGGGCTGCCTTGATTGTGCGGAATATTATCTTCTTGTGAAGGATAGTTACTTTCATTCATATGTCGACTCGATCTATCTCAGTGAACTTGATATAAAAGATATCATAGAGTCTGACACATGTGTTCCATATTTGAATGTTTTACTAGAAAAAGACGTAAATGGTAAACTAACAACAAAATATTGTGATAAACCTGATGACTTCAACTTTTCTATCGTTCACTTCCCTTGCTTATGTAGCATATTTATGTAGCAATATACCCTTATCACTTGCATATGGGTTTTTGTCTCCCATTTGATTCGATACGCAAGAGCATGTTCTACGTACGAACAATTTCGTAAACTAGGCAAGCTATTGACAAACAAGTTGCTGAAACAAGAATATGAGGGGTTCTCCTTTAAAGTCACCATTACGTATATTTCATGGTAGATACAATGATCTTGTCAGCAAATTGAATTTATCTTTAAGTCGAATGCATTTTCATACTAATTGTTTACATACTATGAATAAAACTTGATTATCTACAGTTTTTTTCCGTTTGCCCGATCATAACAATGACCATACGGCGTGTGACCGGTCGACAGGGGATGCTTACTCCCCCATGGCACCTGCTCCCACCTCTGATGTTTTTAGTGGTCCGTGTTTGCTCTGTTCCTGACTGTATTGTTTCAATTGACTATTGAGCTCGATTACTGTTCGTTATCTTCATATTTCATTAATGCACTGATGAACATTGTGCACCGGAAAATTAGGGCTTTGACAAATTTCCAAGAGAAGCGAGGGAGATACTGTCAAGTCGTTAGATTTCCTTTTGGAGATGGGGGAGTGCGGTTACCGTCAAATGCGCTTCAATTACTCATGAATCATCGGTTAAAATCTTCTTGTGATTTTGATGCCTTATTACTTGTTCATCTATAATATTTTAAAACGTTAGAAAACAATATTTGAAGAAACATTCGAATAGATATTATTATTTTACCTGAGTTTCTTCCTTTCAGTATATTTCGTGGAAAATTTTTCATTTGTCATGAAACCAGGTCATAATAATGAGGTAAAACCCAATTTTTGTTTGTTTGTAAATTAGGTGTGCACTTCCCTATATAACATGTCCTCGAAAATCTAAGTATCTTGAATAATTCCATTCACTTTTAATAGGGCAATTTTTTTTTTTTCAAACACTCTCAACTAAGGCAATGAAACGTATATGAAACTAGGGCGTACTGCTTAGGCAACAATCTACATAACACTTGGATAGAAAACATTGTTAATGACATTTTGTTTTATTCAAATTAATTATTAAGTATTATGCTATGTATCTGTAATATCAGTTTTTCAAGATTTTGGTATCCCATATTTTCTTGTTTATTTATGTCGTCTTTAAACTAATTTAATACTTTTCTTTCGTGATATATTGAGTTTAAAGCATTGCTGCAGTTGACTATGATAAACATGTTTACAACAAACATCTTTTGTGATATTTAAATCCAAAGTGCACAAATTGATTGGATTTTTCGCTTGAACAGGTGCATCTCCGATCGGGAATGTTATGGTTGACAAACATAAAACTGGTTGTGTTTGCTGGTATTATAGTGCAAATAACGCTTTCTGAGATGACGAAAATAGTAATTTAATCTGCCTTAAAAAGTTTTGAATGTTTGACATTCTATCAAGATTTGGGATGACACCTGATCCTACCTCTTATGTTTTGAGAGGTCCATGTTTAGTCTGCTCTAAATTTATACTTTCCAATGGACTTTTGATCTTGATTAGTGTTCGTTATCTTCATATTTCATGTATGTTTTTATCACGAAAGCAAAATATTTTAACTGTTTCGAAAGAGAACTTTACAAGTTTTATATGTCAGTGCAAATGGACAGTGAAAATTAGGAACAGTATTCAGGCTAAAAAGTCAAATACAACCGTAAACAGTAAGCAGAGCAAACATCCTCTGAAATTATCAGAGGTGGGATCAGGTGCCATGAAGGAGTAACCATCCCTGTCGACCGGTCACAAGTGCCGTGAGAAAAATGTACAACGCACCGCTATTTGCTTGTTTACTCGTTTGTTAGTTTGTTTTACACATGATTTTATATCTTAGGCATCATATTTAGAAACTACAGCAACATTTCATGTGTGATAATATAAAAATTAGATAGCAAAAAATAAACAGGTATTATAACTGAACTGATTCATAATCTTGCAAGTGGAATAAATTATAAAATTGACAAAATGCAGTTTGTTTTACCATAAAACACTGCTTTTGCATGTTTCGATTGGACAACTTTTTGTGATTAACAAAAGTTAAACACTTACACGTTTTAATGTCGGAGAAGCAGTCAAATAGGCCAGTGCTCCACTGTCTGTAACCGTGAATATCAGTCACCATCAGTTTATTATTTGGAACGGCTGTTGGTTGTTGAACAACTACCGTAGTTGACATGTTGTTGGTCTTTGTATGACTGACAAGTAAACTGACATGAATTTTAAAATGTTAAATTTTTGGTATATTAGGATTTTTCTTTGTTAAATGGAAAAATGCTAATCTTTGGCAATTCGAATATTACTAATAAAAAATTTCATTTGGTAACGTGTACGCCTTTACAGAAAAACAAGAATATGCGACGTATAAATTTAGATTAAGAAAATAATCAAGTGATCATTTTTAAAGAATTATATAAATATGTAAATTGAAAAATCTGAGGAAAAAATGGAATATACTGTAAAACCCTTTATTAATAAAAAGGAATTCTTATGAAATTGAACTCAGACGTGAAATATTTATAAGCATCTAAAAATTAGCAAGAACGTACCTTTCTGTGCCTGCAACGTTTACAATTACACGCTGTTCCTGGGGTGTTTGAAGTAATGCAGGAAGAGGTTTGTTATGTTTGTTTGTCACCTAGAGACTGTGAATAACATCATCGTCTCCTGTCACCAATGAGCAATGTATATTATTGGGATTAATTTAAAAGTTAATGTGCAAGTTTATTGTCCCCTTTCTTTTCACTCTATTCCTTTAGTTTCCTTTGTACATCAGAAAGCACCTTAAAATCTTACACAATCTGTCACAGAAAAATCTTACTAGATAAAATGTTAATTGTAATTATCAAAACCGGATAACTGGAAAAAAGTATTGAAAACCATCCAATTTTATGTGCTGACGAGAAAACAATGTTTCAAGCCTTACAGCTGAAAAGTAGAAACACGAAACACAGCAGTACTCACTTCGCTCAAAAAACTTAGCATACATATCAATTAATTCTCTTGGTGGTTATATTTTTAACTACCCTTACTTTGAATCATAAAAATGTGTAAAGTTTATACAGGCCACTCCTCCATCTATACTACAGTAAAAAATTCTCGAAAGGGACGTAAAACTGCATGCAATCAATCAATCCCTCTATTCTTCCAAACTGACACTGTACAAACTTAAGTTAGAAAAAGCTCATTAGAGCCTAAATTTGTTCTTTTAATATATTTTACGATTTTAGTCAATGCCTTTGTTAGTAATTGAAATATCTGAATTAATTAATCAGTATTAAACAAATTTGATGTTCTTAAAACAAACGGCGTTGATGAAAAAGCGTATGACTGGTTTGTAATAAACTAATTTATAAAGTCCTTGTTTATAATATAAAAGAAAAAAGTAACTGCGCTGAAAAATATCTGGTACTTCATTTTGTTTCATATTCTGTATAATATATAAGCATCTCCGATATATTTTAGGGACAGATGATATAAACATTTTTTTAGAGCGAGCGCCGCTCGTCACTGCGAGCTCTTAAAGCAAAGCCTGGGTGACGAGAAAATTTGGACTTTGCACATTGATTCAAATGATTTTTTTCCGCAGTTGTATGTGGTCCCGTAACCCTTAGAAAAATGCATCTCGCTGCAAGCTACGTTCTCGCGGTAGCACGACGTTCAAAGATAAAAATAAACTCGCCTTGATTTTAATGGATTTATAGCATATAAATAGTAGATTAAACGTCCTTGATAAAATTCGCACTGCTCAGACTTCGTTTTGGTAATGCAACATATTACGACGTTATGTGACGTCAGAGTCAGAATCTAGACGTAACAAATACCATGTGCGGTTTGACGAGCCCGATCTAAATTAAAACTGAATAAGTGTCCTAACGGTCGCACCGTCAACATATTAAATCATAAAAAATAACATTTGTTATCATGTGTTATAAATAAAATAAATAAGTTTATCAATAAAGATTTTATTTTTCGTTCAAAATTTCACAGTTATGTTCTATAAAGTGAAAAAAATGTATAGATTTATAAGGGTGATTGCAGTAAGACAGAACATCATTGTGGTGACGCTCAATCCGGAATTTTGCTTTCCGTCTTTGTATACTATTTCTTCTAGACAGGAAGTTATTAGATCGTACAAGCATGCTGTTGTATGCCATCATTTTATCTAGAAATTAGGAGTTTGGCCCTGCACAGAGTAAGTGTTTTATCTCAAATTATATGAATTATTACTGTTATTATGAATATTGTAATTTTTTATTGTTTAAAAACCTTATATCAGAGATTTGATAACTCGAACGTAATGTAAACAAACCTGGAATTACTTCATTGAAATTTAGGTCATGTTTTGCTTTAGATATTTGGTGTATTCTTAAAAGTAGCATTTATTAGACACTGTGTTGATCATAATTCAATGTGACATGTACATCAGTAAGGCTTATCTTGTACAATCTGTTTTGTTGTATTGTTTACAGTTTTGTACCCTCTCCGCGGGTTTTTGGATAGCAATAAAAATTGCACAGTACAAAATCTAGGCGCCAAGCTTCATCAGAATGGCAGATGGGAAACCTTCCACGGAAATGGACAAGCAACGGCAGCAAGCACTCGCAGAAAAGGCTGAACAGATTTATGAAAGGAAAGTAGAAAAATACAAAGACAAGCGAAGTGTAAAATCTAAGCGATCAAAGTTACCCAAACTATCGAATCTGTCCAGTGTAAGTTCATTATACCTTAAGCAGAAAACCAAGGTCGAAGAAGCTCGTGTCAAATTGAAATACGCAAAGCAAGAAGCAGAATTATTGAAGGAAAAGGCTGCACTGGAAGCTAAGATGTCTATTCTGGACAAAGAAAGACAATATGAGGAGTGCACTCAAGGATTAAATGCTTTGAATGAATGTATTGACTTGGCATCAAGTGAAGAAGAGGAGGAGCCTGATGAAAATGAATTAACAGACACTCGAGAGTCCCGTGTTAAGCAGTACGTTGAAGAACAAAATCAGATGTCGCGTTCATGTCGCTCTCCACCTGAAACTCAAGACTGTGCCTATGACAGTGATCAGTGTACAACTCAAGTTACACCATTAAACATGTTAAATGCAGAAACTCCTCCATTCGTTCCAAGACAAGGAAATATGTGTGAAGAATTCTCTAAATTCATGGTAAAGAAGGACATGCTTTTGAAAAGGATTCATGGATTTGATGACAGACCAGAGTTCTTTGGCTCATGGAAAAGCACCTTTGTGAATGTAGTACAAGAACTGAATCTTAGTCCCGCAGAAGAGGTTGACTTACTTATACAGTATTTAGGACCCGAGTCAAAGAAATCAGCTATGGGTATCCGGTCAGCCAACTACAGTGATTCTTCTCGAGCAAGAGACAGGATCTGGCAGAGATTGATTGAACGTTACGCAAGACCAGAATTAGTCGAATCCTCTATCAAACAGAAACTTATATCTTTTCCAAAAATCGCAAGCAAGGAAGTGAAAAAACTATATGAACTTGTGGACATTGTGGTGGAAATTGAATCTTTAAAGAAAGATGAACAGTATTTTAGTCTCTTTGCTTCATATGACTCTTCAGCTGGAGTTAATTTAATTGTCAATAAACTTCCTTATCAGTTACAGGAAAAGTGGACCAATGAGGCAAGCAGATACAAAGAGCAACACGACCTGGCCTTTCCACCATTCCACATATTTGCACACTTTCTGGAAAAGATGGCAAGAGTGAAAAATGACCCGTCCTTTGTTTACGAAGATACAAGACCATGTAAACTGAAACCTCAAACTTCATCTCATTCTGTTTTTGTCAAAAAGGTGGATGTGCCAGTCACGAACTCTGTGTCAGAAACAAAGACATCGGCTTTGACTATATGTCCCTTACATAAAACGAACCACAGTTTAAATAAGTGTCACCAGTTTCGTGAGAAATCGTTACAGGATCGACTAGAGTTCTTAAGAAGTAAAGGACTTTGTTTTAAGTGCTGTGGTCAGAGGAGTCACCTAGCTAAGGACTGTCGCTCAACTGTGATGTGTAGTGTGTGTAAAGCAACCAATCACCCAACGGCTTTGCATATAGACAAACCTACTCACAGTGATCAAGACTGTAACAAGAACTATCTTGCTAAGACTACCACAGAAGAAGTGACATCAGCTTGCTCCATGGTCTGTGGAAGAACAGGTGCAAGCAAGTCTTGTGCTAAGACAGTATTAGTGAAAGTATATCCCAGAGGATGTCCAGAGAAAGCTGTTCTTACATATGCCATTGTGGATGAACAGAGCAACCGCTCTCTAGCAAGGTCAGCATTCTTTGACCTCTTTGCTATCTCAGGACCCGAGATACCATACTCATTATCATCTTGCAATGGGAACACGACGGAGTTTGGTAGACGATGTTCAGACTTTACCATAGAATCTTTTGATTCAAACTGTAAGATGGATATGCCCATGCTCATAGAGTGTGACCAAATACCGAACATTCGGGATGAGATACCATCTCCTTTAGTGGCAGAACAATTTAGTCATTTGAAGGACATTGCTAAGTTCATCCCTCCTATCCAGGAAAATGCTGAGATATTACTACTCATTGGAAGGGATTTACTACCGGTTCATCATGTTTTAGAACAATGTTTAGGACCTATGCATGCGCCATTCGCACAAAGGTTACGGTTGGGCTGGGTCATCATTGGAAATGTGTGTCTCGGCACATCTCATCAGCAAGACTCTATCTCAGTTATGAAGACCTTCACCTTGAAGGATGGTAGAACTACTCTTCTTGAGCCATGCTATAACAACATTCATGTTGAGGATAGTTGTGTTTTCTCAAGGACAAAAGAGGATAATATTCCTGGACTTTCAATAGAAGATAAAGACTTCTTGAATCTCATGGAAACAGAAATGTACAAAGGTCCTGATGGATCTTGGACAGCTCCCCTTCCTTTCCGAAGGAATCGTCAGCATCTACCAAATAATAAGCCTCAGGCCCTTAGTAGAGCCCATTCACTGGACATGAATTTAAGAAAAAATCCAGAAAAGATGGAACATGTTATTGGTTTCATGAAGAAAATATTAGAAAACGGACATGCCGAACCAGCTCAAGAACTGGACTTAAATACTGAATGCTGGTACCTGCCATTATTCGCTGTGTATCACCCTAAGAAGCCAGGAAGTGTGCGTTGTGTCTTTGACTCTTCAGCTAAATATGAAGGGATCAGTCTAAACGATGTGTTACTTACAGGACCAGATCTTGTGAACTCACTCTTAGGCATACTACTAAGATTCCGGCAACATCCTGTTGCAATAACTGCAGATATAGAACAAATGTTCTATCGCTTCTCTGTTCCAGAAAAACACAGGGATTATTTATGTGGTATAAAGACAATGACCCAAGCCAAGACATGATTGAATACAGAATGACCAGACATGTGTTCGGAAACAACCCGTCGCCTGCTGTGGCAACCTGTGGACTAAGAAAATGTGTAATTGATGCAGAAGATGTGAAGGGCTTTGTTTACCGAAATTTTTATGTGGATGACGGTTTAATGTCGTTTGACGGCAGTGACGAAGCTGTGAACTTATTGTCCCGCACTCAGACAATGCTCAAGAAAGAGGGAAATATTCGTTTACACAAAATTACTTCAAACAGTCTGGATGTGATCAAAGCCTTCCCTCAAGAAGATCTTGCCAAAGAAGTCACAGGCATTGAACTAGATTTAAGTGAAGCACCACTTCAGAGAAGTTTGGGGGTCAGCTGGGATATTTCCAAAGACTCATTTACATTTCAAGTGACTTCTACCCATAGGCCATTCACCAAAAGAGGCGTTCTCGCAACTATTAATGGTTTATATGATCCGATTGGAATTGTGGCGCCAGTTACTATTCGTGGCAAACTTATCATGCAGGATGTTATGTCATCTGTAACAGATTGGGACGAACCTATTCCACATGCATTCCAAGCAAAATGGCACAATTGGGTGGAATCCCTTGTTGACTTACAGTCCATCCTCATACCTAGATGTTATGTCAACTTACCTTCATCTGAAGTACAACGAAGGGAACTTCATGTTTTTTCTGATGCTTCACAGAAGGCGATCAGTGCCGTAGCTTATTTGAAGATATGTGACGTCAGTGGAGGTCATCATGTCAGCTTTGTTCACGGAAAGGCAAGAGTGGCTCCCTCACAGGGCCACACAATTCCTAGGCTAGAGTTGTGTGCGGCCGTACTTGCCACTAGGCTCAAAGACACCATAACACAACACTTGACTGTACCCATTGACTCTATTACGATGTATACAGACAGCAGAGTTGTACTCGGGTATATAAACAATGAACATAGACGCTTTTATGTGTATGTTGGAAACCGTGTAGACATGATTCGTCATTCTACAACATCAGACCAGTGGACTTTTGTGTCATCTGAGGACAACCCTGCTGATATAAGTACAAGGTCTATTCCTGCTAATGAAATTGAACAAAGTGCATGGATTCAAGGACCTTCAATTTTAAGGAGTGAACATCCACTAGAACACAGAGAAACTTCATATGAGCTGATAGACCCAGAAGAAGATAAAGAAGTCAGACCTGTTGTTATAGTTACGAAGAAAACTTCTGCTATACAAGAGACAGTTTTAGTTGTTCATCGATTTGAAAGATTTTCCACTTGGCGGAGCCTTGTACGAGCTATAGCTAGGATCAAACGTGTAGCCAAATCATACAGGAAATCTTTAGAAGCTCCAGAAACACTCGTGGCTTCTGTCACAACAGACGAACTTACTCAAGCTGAGTTGTTTGTTGTACAGCAAGTTCAACAGGCATGCTTTCCTAGTGAGGTTAGTGCTCTTAAGGAGGGGAGAGAACTGCACAGGACAAGTTCTATCATCTCACTGTCTCCAATACTGGACTCGTATGGCATCATGAGAGTTGGTGGAAGATTACGACAAGGGAGGAAATCTACTTGTTTAGAAGTTCATCCAGTGATAATACCAAAAAATAGTCACATTGCTGATCTAATTATTCATCATTTTCATGAGAGTGTCCACCATCAGGGACGTCATATCACTGAGGGGAAGATTCGGACTGCTGGGTACTGGATTATCGGTTGTAAGCGGAAAGTCACATCACATATCCATTCTTGTGTTATATGTAGAAAGCTGAGGGGAAGGTTCGGGACACAAATTATGGCAGATCTTCCTGAGGACAGAATCACACCGTCTCCACCCTTCTCCTTTGTTGGGGTAGACACATTCGGTCCTTGGAATGTGGTAGCAAGACGTACCAGAGGGGGACAGGCTAATCAAAAAAGATGGGCAATACTATTCACCTGTCTCGTTTGTCGTGCCATTCACATTGAAGTGATAGAGGAGCTAAGCAGTAGTTCCTTCATTAATGCACTCAAGCGCTTCATATCCATCCGTGGCCCTGTACATCAATTCAGATCGGATCGTGGGACTAATTTTGTTTGGGCGGTGAACGAAATCGGTTTGGCCTCCATATTTGTGGAAGATGCCCCTATCCAAAACTTTCTGACTAGGAACCAGGCAGTATGGATTTTCAACCCTCCCCATGCCTCCCATTTTGGAGGGGCATGGGAGAGGATGATTGGAGTTACAAGAAGAATTCTAGACAGCATGTTGTTACGCACGGATTCAAAAGGAATCACAAATGAAGTTCTTACTACATTTATGGCCGAGGTCTGCTCAATTGTTAACTCAAGGCCTTTAGTTGCGGTTTCGACTGATCCTGAGGATCCATCTGTATTAACCCCTAACATTTTGCTTACACAGAAAATGGATAGCAGTACCCTGCCAAAAGACTTACCAGAGTTGGATCTTAGAGAAGCTTACCGGTCTCAGTGGAAACATGTTGTTGTTTTATCACAAGAATTCTGGAAGAAATGGCGAGAGCAGTACCTATCGAACTTACAGAGTAAACGCAAATGGTCACAAGCAGAACGTAACTTTAAAGAAGGGGATATCGTGTTGTTAAAGGACTATGAGGTGGCGCGGAATCAGTGGCCTGTAGCTTTGGTGGAGAAAGTGTTTCCGAGTGATGATAACCGTGTGCGTACTGTAGAGATTCGTGTCGCTAAGGACAGAAGATGCTTCGTCCGTCCAATATGTGAACTTGTTCCATTGATACAAGATTGACTCTATATATTAATTGTTTTTTATCATGTTGAGATTGTTTAATCAGATTGATAAGATGTTTTATGTACCAAACATTTGTCAGGATAGGAAAATGATTATTCTTTATTTTGGTTATGTGTAGTGTTTTCAATTAGAATTCACTAGGAGGGGAGTGTGGTGACGCTCAATCCGGAATTTTGCTTTCCGTCTTTGTATACTATTTCTTCTAGACAGGAAGTTATTAGATCGTACAAGCATGCTGTTGTATGCCATCATTTTATCTAGAAATTAGGAGTTTGGCCCTGCACAGAGTAAGTGTTTTATCTCAAATTATATGAATTATTACTGTTATTATGAATATTGTAATTTTTTATTGTTTAAAAACCTTATATCAGAGATTTGATAACTCGAACGTAATGTAAACAAACCTGGAATTACTTCATTGAAATTTAGGTCATGTTTTGCTTTAGATATTTGGTGTATTCTTAAAAGTAGCATTTATTAGACACTGTGTTGATCATAATTCAATGTGACATGTACATCAGTAAGGCTTATCTTGTACAATCTGTTTTGTTGCATTGTTTACAGTTTTGTACCCTCTCCGCGGGTTTTTGGATAGCAATAAAAATTGCACAATCATAGAAGTATACAATTTCTTAATATTTTAGAAATTTAATATTTGCATAATTTACATCCAAAATAGGTCCAAAATATATATACTATACCAGGTATTGTTGTTTTTATCATCTGTCCTTAAATAAGTTCTACTATCAAATTTCTTTCCTTAGGTTATATTGATAGAATAATATAATCGATTCCTCCAGTATCTGTATGGGATTTCGATTCTTCATGTTTACAGGTCCTTTATTCCGTCCAAAGTCGGAATATTTAAAGCCGATAAAAAATTTTCTGTTGATATGCATCTTTTCAAATACCAGTATTTCAGAAAATGAATCGAGTTTAAAATTAATAAAACAAGATTCTTATCTCATGCTTATGGCAAGCCCTTTTACTATTTATTCGTAAAATAAATTTTCACTCAAAATTACAGAGATATTTCTTATTTTAGAGAGATATCTCTTAAAAAACAGAGATATCTCTCAACTTAAAGAGATATCTCTCTAAGAAATAGATATCTCTTTCACTTAGAGAGATATCTCTTACACTAAGAGAGATATCTCTTTCACTTAGAGAGATATCTCTTTCACTTAGAGAGATATCTCTTCCACTTAAAGAGATATCTCTTTTCCTTTGAGAGATATCTCTTTCGTTAAGAGAGATATCTCTTCGCGTTTAAGAGATATCTCTTTCACTTAGAGAGATATTTCTTTCACCTAGAAAGATATCTCTTTTACTTTGAGAGATATCTTTCCAAGTTAAAGAGATATCTCTCAAAGTAAAAGAGATATCTCTCTAAGTTTATCTTAAGAGATATCTCTCAAAGTGAAAGAGATATCTTTCAAAAGTGTCCAAAAGAGATATCTCTCAAGCAAAAAGAAATATCTCTTTACTGTAAAGAGATATCTCTCTACATTATTTCTATTTAAAAGGCATTTTAATGACTTCTCCCTTTACCGGAAGTAAGCTTTATATTCACGGAAATGCATTAAATCAAAACGAAAGTAGAGACGAGAAAGTAGAACATGTGGTGTTTTATGGTATTTGTGAGCAAATTATTGACTTGCAGGTGTAACAATGACCCCAAGATACGACACAAAAAGGGAGCTGTCCTTCTACAAGTGCTTGATCAACTGATTTATGGAAAGAAGTTCAGAGTAAGAAACTTAGCCGATCATGAAACATCGTAAACGTATCACAGGGGCTTGCTCCCGAAATGTAAACAATATAAATTAAAAAATATAAATATTTTAAAACCCATCGTGATGATTGATACAATTTAGTAGATCTACAAATATTTCTTTCTCTTTATTAACATTGTTTACATTCCGGAAGCACCCCCTGTGATCGTTACCTGCATACGAGTTGGATACCTTATGTTATTAATATACTATCATACTGTGGGTTAAAAAAGTATTACAGAAACAAGTGCCTGTGGAAAGCGAGTAGACCATTTGATTCTGAAAGGGAAAGTGACTTGCAGATTTTGGAAATAAATAATCTGAACCTCAAAATGTTGAAAACAAATAATTTGCCCCCCCCCCTCCCCATGTGTGTGTGTGTAAGGGGGGGGGGGGTGTTAAAATGTTAAAGTGGAGAAAAAATATATATAATTTTCTGTATTTATCATCTTGAAAATAGTTAGTTTGTCCTTCACTGGTATGGAAAGAAATAAGCTGACTTGAAATATAGCCCTCTATCCCCCCTTCTTAGAATGAAATGATTGTTCCCTTAATTTTGAAACATATTTAGCTTTCCTGTGCTGAAGGTTCAATTGAGCTTTGAATTCAGGCTCCGGGGCCATAAAACTTAGATGAGCTCACTTTTGATCTCAATCTCACTTTTACAAAAGGAATTATACGTGGCAAAGTGAGACTGAGATCAAAAGTGAGCTCGTCTAAGTTTTATGGCCCCGGGGCCTGCTGATCTAAATTTGTGGATCAAATGAAAGATATCCAAATTAAAGGTCCCGCTCTCTTTCAATAGGAGATAATAGATAATTAGTGAAAATTTTATGACATTTTGATAAATATACATCTTTCTCAAGAACCACTGGGCCAGGTGAGATGAAACTTATGTGAGCTTTATGTCCAGCATATAATCATCAGGTTTGATGGAACGCTGTACTATGTAGATGTAGATATAGTGTAGATTCACGACCATTCATAGCTTAATTGACCCTCTAGGGAAGTATGGGGCAACATTGCGTGATCAAGTTTTACTTTAGAATTATAATGTAGGAATTTTTATAGAACATTCTCAATCAAGCTAAGGCATAATTGTTCATACAGTAAAATCTCATTATCTCAAACTCGATTGGACTAAGAAAAAACTTTGAGATATTTGAGGATTCAAGATATCAAGGGTATATTACTTAAACAATAAGCAATTGGGACTTTAACATATCCATGGTATTCGAGATATCAGTGTTCTCGATACTGAAGTTCAACTGTATTTACATGGAAGCATTAGGTTGTGTTTTGTACGTTCAATCAAATTTGTTCAAATTATGACAAGAGGGGTATGGTGGGGTCAATATGAGCAATTAAAGTTTTACAAAGGAATGTATATGGAAACAAATCTTTAAAAATCTCTTCTCAAGAACAATAAAAAGATAAGTAATATTTCTAAGGAAGCTGGGATCCTCATGTCTCCAGGGGCTAGGGTTGAGCCAGCTAGAACAGGCAAAACAATCAAGTTTTACTTCAGAAGATGGGGGGGGATCTGCTTATAAAGAACAACATGGCCATAGTGACTAAGGTGATCATTGTGACCATGGGCCTTTTGATTTCATGTTTTTCTAGTGCAGTTGCAGACCACTGTATTTAATTTGAAAAGATCAGTTACATGTAATGATTAATGAAACATCCCCTACAATTTTTTTCTGTCATTGTTTCAGATATGAAGTGCAACAAGGGTATGTCCAACACACTTTCTGTGACACTTGTCTTTGAATGCAATGGATGTCCAAGATTCCAGTGATTGTAACAAGTCAATATGATTTCCTGAAAAAGTGTGAGTTAATTTTTACATGTCTATGTATTTTTTTATTATAACTTAGAAATATGTTGTTAACAAAATTGAAACGTGAAATAGATCAATTCAAAAAGACACTATGTTCTCTTAAAGTCTTAAAAGATTTTTCCTTGTGTATGTGTAGGTCACAAGTACAGTCTGCAGAGACAAGCACTTCTATCATTGAGGGAAAGTCTGCATTGTCAAGTTCTTTGCATAGACAGAAAAGAGATAAGCAATGGGGTGTATGGACCAGACCAGGATTCAAGTCAGGGCCCCCTGAATCAGTAGTCATTTGCTCTACCAATTTAACTATCTGGCCACCAGAAATTGAACCCACCTAAATGCCCTATATGGATCTGTGGAACTCTGAAATATCCAAGTTTTATCAATAAGAGAGGTTTTACTCCACCTATGTCAAGTGACCATAATTTAACAATTCACTGTATACACTTCAACAAAACTGCAACCCAAGAAGAAATTGTTGTCCTATTATTAATCTTCTGGCTACAGAAAAAAAAATTACATGTGATGTTAGTATAGTTTTTTATTATGTTTACTGATACTGTGGACCTTATTCAAACTTGTAGGATATCAATCTCCTATGCAGAGTTGTCATTTGTTCCTCTCTCAGACATGTATGGGCCAGTGGTAGAGAGTGGTAGAATATTTCACATGTATAATATTTTTACACAATACATTCAATTTAACGGCAGTCAAGTTTATAACTTAAGATTTTTGTTTTTTTTTTTCAATTCTAGCTCCCAATGCACAAGTATAAGTTTCATTTTTCATTCATCTACAAGTAATATAAATTTTTCGTCTTTTCTTTCATTTTCTTTTCTTTAATATGTTGTTCATATTTACCTTACACTTTTTTGAGTGAGGGCTGAATGAAAAAGCTGACTGTAGCCCAAACCCTGATTTCCTATTGAAGAAGCATTGGAAGTTTGTACCCCATGCATAAATTGAATATATGTGTGTTGGCCTTGACCCAAGGTTATTTGATGAAGTGTGAGGTGATTCTATAAAATAAAAAATTATAAAAATCTAGAATTCCTGTTTGACTAGATCTTGTAATTGAGAACATTTAGAGGCTCATACTTATTGCAAATATTGAGCATGACCTGCGGTTATGACTGATCTTAAATCAAGGTCATTTTTAAGCAAGTTAAAGGTAACTGGCAGAAAAAGTGTATTATCTTTGTCAAATGCATAATTTGCAAATGATACTTGACACAAAGATTGCTTATGACTAAATGGTGTTTCATGACCTTATCCAATGTCAAGATTACTGGCAGTAAATGTGTGAAATTTGTTTTCATTTCATTACTCCTTCATGGATAAGTATTGAAACTGGAAACTTCAAAGATTATTTGTAAGCAGAA